TATCATATCACACCAACAAAATTTCGTATCAATACAAAACCAAACCAAGCAAATTTTGTGTCATTAATTTGTGTCAGTTTTATTAGGTCATCAATGGCTAGGTAATTCTTAGCCTAATTTTTCAAACCCATGTTTAAATGTATATATGTGATTATTGATTAAATTGTGTTTATTTGGGATACTTAATGATGATATGTTTATGTTTTGTTTACTGAATTTTGTTTTTACATGCAGATCTAATTTAATCAGAGAATTAAATTCGGGCAAAAATCTTTGGAAAATCAAAGTACGAGTTTTTCGCTTGATAATCTTATTGGATGAGAAGGTATTATATCTTTATAAATCGTTTAAATTTATTAAATCTTTTAATGAACCTTTTAGTTTTTATCAATTAATTTTATGATTAAAACAAATTTTTTGTGATTTAGGTAGCTTAATTAAGTCATAAAATTAACTTAATTTTTTATTTTTAATTACAGGGTGATTACGTTCCCTCAATTAAAGTCAACTTTGTTCTACAATTTTTTTCAAAATTGATTATTATAATTTTATTTTTATTTTTTATTTTGTTCTATGAATAATGATTTAGGATTTAAATTAATTTAAAAATAAAAAATTATTATCTTTTCACATTAAAGATTTTATGCTAATATGTAATCAATGAAATATCATATTTATATTATTTTTAAAAGATATCATATTATTGTCATATAACCAAAAACAACGAATAATATACAAAACAACAAAATTAAGTGACATTATAAATTACATTAAAAAAAATATACATACTTTTGTAATTGGCAATATCATTTTAATTAAATTATTATTTGTTTTTTTTTTGTCTGAAATTATTAAATTGTAAAATAAACAAATAATTATTGAAAAAAAAATATAAATTATACAATTATTATATGTTCAATATTTTAAAAAGGAAAATATATGTTCATTTTGTTTTTAAGAAAACGGTCAATCAATTATTTAAAAAAAAAATTAAAAGAAATATAAATTATTAATAATTAACTAATATTCTTCAATTTTTTTTAAAAAAATCAATATTCTTAAAAAAAATAAAAATAATAATAACGCTCGGTCTTTATCAATATTTTTCAAAAAAAAAAAAAACAATGATGTTCAATTTTTATCTTATCTAGCAACCCATTTCATGATTAGATAAATTTTTTACAAGAGATTTATTTGCTACTCCACAAATATATAAGATAGGATGATATTAAAGATTTGTATACATCCTCTCAAAAATATAATTTTGAGTTTATATATATATATATATATATATATATATATATATATATATATATATATATATATATACTATACTATACAAAAAACACAAACATGTGAATATTATTTATCTACACTTTTTCATGGTGTGAATTTTTTTCGGGTCTAATTCGTTGATTAACAAAAAATATTGGAAATAATGTAAGTATATCAAGGCTTTCTGATGGTAAACAAAATAAATTGATTGTCATTCATTATTTTATAAGATGTATGTTTTGTTTTATTTTACCTAATCTAATTAAATTACTTATCGTATTAAATTTTGTTAAACAACTTAATTGTAACTTAATATCAATTATTCTGTATTTGAAGAGATTATATCCATGCGCCAATTGAAAGAAATTATTGGAAAAGTAAGGGTATGTTCTCTTCAGCTTATTTTCAGTTCAGTTCCTAATTTCATTCTCTCATAAAATATTCAGTTCAGTTCAGCTTCAATCAGTTCAGTTCACCTAAGCTCAGTTCAGTAAATCAGAACAGACCCTAAGTCAACTATAATGTTACAATAGTAGGGAAAAAAAATTAAAGATTGTAAGAGATGTCTCTGATAATTTTTTTTTTTTTTTTTTGTGTATTATAGTTTCTGGTAGAATATCTATATTATTATTATAAAAATCATTGTAGTAGTGTATACATATAACTCTATTATTAAGACATATGATAATGAAATTTCATTATAAAGATTTAATTTTATTCAATTAGATTAATTTTAGTAATGCAACACTCTTGGTAGTATATATATAAAAACCAAAAATTAAATAATAATAAAAAAAATGCTGCCAAACAAATAGCAACCAATAACAGAGTTAGCCAAATTTCCTCTTTTCTTACGTGTCCCCACTCCTCACCTTCAATATCTTTCTCTTACTCTCAAGCAATAATGTATGTAAACACCTCAATTGCAAACAAAAACCAAAATTAATCTTCTACTATGCCGTCAAGGAGAGGTCAATGACGATAAGGTCGAGGAATTCTTTTTTTTTTTAACAAATTAAAACCAAAATTAACCTCAAATCAATGAAATCGGTTGATGACGTTGTTTCGGCGAGGCGGCGACGGCGGCAAGAGAAACGCTTATCTAGCTATTCCTTTAATTAAGTTTCCCAAAGGTTTCCAAAAGTTCCAAATTGTATGAGACGTTTCGCGAAGTAAGGAAACTCTTATAGGCGTTTAGTAAGTTTCCGAAACGTTTCGGAAACGTACGTTCCATGCATCAGAGAGGGAATGTATCCGAAGCCCATTCTCTAGCTCAAAAGGGTAGGAAAGAAAAATGGGTTTAGATAACCCCTGTCTTTTTATCTTGTTTGCTTCTTGTAAAAAATAAAAAAAAATAAAAAATAAATAAAAAAAAAACCTCAACAAGACAAGTAGTATTGAGTATTGACCATAGAGGCAAAATTAATGGAAGAAAGTGAAAAACCTTTATAATACATTAATACCTAAAGGTTTGAGATTAAAAATCAGTTATTATAGTAGCCCCGATTACTTTTAATTTTTTTGTTATCCATACATTGAAAAATATAGAAAATAGAAGATCGATCAAGCTCAATTTTAAGCAATAAATAATCTAATATATTAAACAAAATTCTCTGATGCTAATAATATAATGACTTATTATATTAAAAATATCAAAACTTCACTACTCTAGTAAATATAAAAACTTAATACATAAATATACACTTGTACGTACGTACAAGAAAATAAATCAACCCGATGAGATCGATTAATTAAAACATACTCAAGTAAATATACCAGTCTGGCGTTAGCTGCCGGATGTTTAATTTTGAGGTTGCGAATGTAACCTGCAAGTTGTTCATTATCAGGGATGGCCTGAACCTCTAAGGAGGTTATACCAATGAGGCAGTTTCTACCAATAAGAAGAAATATTTGTATTTTATTTTTGAATTAAAAAATTATGTCGCCATCTAGATAAAAGTAACCTGAATTAGATTTGATATATATAAAATTTTAATGCCACATAGATTATAATCCACGAATTAAATTAGTTTAATGAAAAAAAAAGTAAAAATATAGGAAGTGATAAATTTATTAATTCAATACTACGAGTATAAGAAATCCAAAAAAATATACTAAAAAATATTTAAATGATAAACGCTTATAATAAAGTTTGATACCTATCATTATAAGATAAATTTTGATAGTATTTATGATAAGAAATAAAAATTGTTCGTTAATTATAATGAAATTAAAATTTGTGATACTTACCATTATAAATTGACACATCATACGACACAAACAAAATTTCGTATCAATAAAAAACCCCATCAAGCGAATTTTGTGTTAGTAATTTTGTGTTAATTTTTGGTCATCAATGACCAGGTAATTTTTAGCTTAATTTTTAAAATCTTATGTTTAAATTTGCAGATCTAACACATCATACGACACAAATAAAATTTCGTATCAATACAAAACCCCATCAAGCGAATTTTGTGTTAGTTTTAGGTCATCAATGTCTGGGTAATTTTTCATTTATTGGTAAATATAATGATTTATTTTATATAAATGTAAAGATTTATTTTATGTCAATTTCAGTTTGGCTAGCATTTCACGGTTCAATATATGCATTGATGTAGTAGGTTGGTTGTGGACGAGGTTGGTGATTCTATCGAAATAAAAGATATGGTAAAACAATGAATGATTTAGAATTTAAATTATTAAAAATTTATCATTTCACATTAAAAATTTTATATAACGGAAAAAATATCATATTCACAATTTATTTATATTTAATAAATTCATTATAAATTATAGTAAAAAAAAACAATATTAAACTTTTGTAAATTTGTCTGAAATTATTAAATATAATAAATCGAATAATTAAAAATCTTAGATGAAAAAACCGTGCATCATATGGACTTCCATCTAGTTTCTATTATTTTAGAGGTTTGATGTATCCCATTGGGTTATTCTTGAATTTTTCATCATCATCCGAGCCAAACCAAAGAGTGTTATCGAAGCCTTAACAAGTTTTTGCAATGGTTCATGGTTGTTGATGTAGTTTTCATTGGCATCACCAAATGCGAAATCATAGGCTCATAGCTTCCTTTTTCTGTAGTTTTCAGTTTTTCACACTCAACATTGTTATTTAGTCCGTAGTTCCGTACTAGCAGTATTATGTTGTCACATGAAAAGTCAATTCAAGTAGTAAATGGGAGTTTTTTCAGAAAGTTGGCCTTTTCCGACTTTTTATTTTAACCCTAAGTTTGAGGCCATGTTAAATTGGCAATTTAGCCACCTCCATGCTATAAGAATGTAACAAAACTCTAAGGTACCTAGTCAATCTAAGAATTTTATATCTAGTTATAAAAAAAAAAAAATTGCATATAAAATGTTTAAGTATAGTATAATCACTAATCATAACTCATTGAATCAAATAAAGAATGCTTTCATATAACCTATGATCATCGAGTATTCATTTGATCGACTGACCATATTCGAGAAATTGAATAATCTCACATATGAGTAATTCATTACCAAGAAACAATTTCCCACCAACATCTTAATTAGCTTATTTAATAGTCAATAAGCTAATATTAGTCAAATAAATTAATTTTGTTCAAATAAGCTATTTATCAAAAACAGGAGTTAAATTTTAGTAAGAAGTTTAAGATCATGTTCAAGTTAAATCTAGTTTGCTAGCGTTCAATTTTTTTTTTCTTCCCATTGTTTTTAACTTAAAGTACCACTAGATTGTGTCAAAAAAAAAAGTACCACTAGATTAACAATTTAACACTTCGATAAACCCTACAATCAGTAAATCAGCCCTCTTTTAATTTTCCCTCGCAATTCCATAAACCCTAACTTCATCTTCCCCTTATCTCGCTCTCTCTCTCTCCTCTTCAATGGATACTTTGCAAAATACTTACAAAGACGATGAAGATGAAGAGCCAGAAAACATCCCACCTCAAATTTCCCCAAATCAAAACGACCCAATTCCTGAATCTACTGCAAACGACACTGATGACCTCAATACAATCGAAAACAACGACATTGTTGTTTCAAACCCTAACCTAAATCCACCTTCAAGCCCGAAAATCGCTACAATTGAATCCGAATCAATGGCTGTAGAATCGGCGGAGAATCCGACCCAATTGGCGTTGAAGTCCGAAACTTTAGGGTCGGAAGATATTTCCTCTGAATCAATCTCTGAAGATGAGCAAAACCCGGAAAAGAAATTATTAGGTTTGGGGGAAGATGAAGAAGAATTAGACCCACCTTCGAAGAAACAGAAATCGCTCTCGAATTTTGAAATTGATCAATTGGATTTGGATTCACAATCTGCGATGAAATCGACACCGGTTGGTGGGAATGGTGGTGGGAGTAGTAAGAAATCGTCGAAGAAGAAGAGCAAGGGGAATAATGTGTGGACGAAGACGACGTCGAGGAAAGGGAAGAAGAAGTCTAAGAACAACATCAATAACAGTAATCACAATCACAATGCAGTTCCACCGAAATCGGAAGATATTGTGTTGATTACTCCGATTCCGAGGTTTCCTGATAAGAATGATGATTCCCCTGAATCGAAGATATGTCTTTCCAAGGTTTATAAGGCAGAGAAGGTGGAATTGAGCGAGGATCGAATGAGTGCCGGGAGTTGTAAAGGGTATAGAATGGTGAGGGCGACGAGAGGGGTGAGTGATGGCGCTTGGTATTTTGAGATTAAGTTGGTTAGTTTAGGAGAGACAGGGCATACGAGGTTGGGGTGGTCGACGGAGAAAGGGGACTTGCAAGCTCCGGTGGGGTACGATGCGAATAGTTTCGGGTATAGGGATATTGATGGGAGTAAGATACATAAGGCATTGAGGGAAAAGTATGGGGATGAAGGGTATAAAGAAGGTGATGTTATTGGGTTTTATATTAATTTGCCAGAAGGGAATTTGTATGCTCCGAAACCGCCTCATTTAGTTTGGTATAAGGGGCAGAAGTATGTTTGTGCCCCGGACCCAAAGGAGGATCCCCCAAAGATCATTCCCGGTGAGTTGCTTTTTTCCTGTCCAACTTTTGTTGTTCTTGTTTTTTAGCCTGCAAAAGTTTACAAGTTTGGATATCTTGTTTGCTGGTTGGTTTTGGTTGAGCAACATTTTTGGGTTGTGTTATGATTGTGTTTGTGCAAAGTGTAGGTTAAAATGAAGTAGTAATGATGTTTGTGCAAATTCGAATGTTGTTTTACTTTGCTTTCAAGTAATGCAAAGGGGGATTGCTATTGTAGTTTGAGTCAAAGTCTAATTCCAAGACTTAAATAACAACTTATACTAGTGATTGAACTTTAGTGCATCAGTTTGTTGAGTACTTCCACCAAAGCAATAAGGTATATGGTTAATGTATGTTATAGCAAACAAAACGGGTCCCACAATATATTTCCTGTTTTCCTTCCTATTTTGGAGACCCAAAATGTTTTTCCTATTTCTATTTTTGAATAGTATATAAAGATCATTATACCCTCATTTGTTTTAAGTATATTCATTGAACTTACTAATTTACCCTTAAATTATCCATTTGCATTGTACTTTTTTCCACTTTCTCTCTAACTTTTGTCTATAATTGTACTTTTTACTTTTTTTTTTCCCTTAAATTATCCACTTGCCTTATACTTTTGTTTGGCTTTTTTCCACTTTTAATGTACTTTTTCCACTTCTTCTCCCATTTCTTAAATACCGTGAAAAAAACACAATAGGAACTATATTATGGGACGGACGGAGTATGTTTACATAGCTGCATTCTAGTTTCACTTAATAACCTGCTTTTCTCAATATGGGTTAGCTTTACCTCCAATTTATGACGATTGGTGACTACCTAAGAACCTTAGCCACGGCAACATACTTGTGAATGGCAATATGTTTTCTGCCTAGTTGGAACAATGAATCCAACAAGTATACATGATGAGAGATTCCCACTTAAGTTGGATTATAGAAAGTTGGCCTTTGGCATCTACGTGTATCATTATTAATCATCAGCAAGCTTGGGTCTTATGGTTATCTCCACCCAAAGGCTTTAGTAAACAACATCATGTCTCATAAATTGGAGATCATGTCAAGTTGGATTATGTTAAGCTTCTGATAATTTTAGTTTAGATCATGTTTGCTAAAGATATGAAGCTGATGCAAGGAAATTTACCGTGTGTATCTTGTATCTATTTCATGGAATATTGTGGTTATGTGGATGTTAACTTGTTAAGTCTCTTATGAGATGTGCTCTGATGATTTTCATATCGTGCTTGTTGACTTTCATTTTAAAGATTGTTCTTGTTTTTGGGCAGGATGTTGTGGAAAGAAATAAGGTATTTTAAGTTGCTAATGTCATGAGTAGGCAAATATGTCAGATTTTGGTGATCATGGAAACATATTGAAGAAAGTGTTTCTAGAGGAGTATTGGGTGATTGACAAGCCAATGAAAAGCTTCTGTTGGTTGATGGATGATATGTGTATTTTGGTAACTAAGGCTTAATTTTATTATGTATGCAGCATCTCCTCATAGAGTCTTAGGATATGAAAACTTCTATTACATATGAGAGTTATGCAATGAATAACAATTGCTTGCATGTGTGAGAAGGAACTGTTGTGAATATAAATCAACTTAATGGAGTATTAGGAGGCTTGCTACCTTGGGGCAAGACAGGGTGATTAACTGATCACTGAGAAGTATAGTAGTAGGACTAATACTCTGAAGTTGTACACTTGTAGGGCTGTACTAGACCTAGTAGGAGCACATTACTAGATCATCTAATTTGAATTCTTGGAACGAGCAAGGCACCTTAATTTTGACCCCTCCTGAAATCGATCCAATCTGACCTGAAAATAGTTAATTGAATTTTCTTCAGAAACTTACTAGCTGCAGACTCCAAATCTGACTTGACCCGAAATAACCTAAATAATAACCATGTGTCATAACTCATAACCCAAATATGACCTGAATTGTCAGTTTGAAGTCTTGAACCACCCTTTTCTCAGGTCTAGTGGACTGTAATTTTGTTCCGTTTTATAGTTATGTATGTATGTATGTGAAATGTGGCAATTTGACAATTGGTATTGTAATGCCTTTATGTCTTTGATTCTGTTGAGTTTCTCTGTAAGATTTTGTAATCTACTAATGAACCTTTATGTTGATTGTAATTAAGAGTTTCTCCTTATCCAATTTGTAATGCAGGAAGTGAAATATCCTTCTATAAGAATGGCATTTGTCAGGGCGTTGCTTTTAAAGATCTTTTTGGCGGACGCTACTTCCCTGCTGCATCAATGTATACCCTTCCTAATCAACCCAATTGTGTGGTGAAGTTCAACTTTGGTCCTGATTTTGAATTTTTTCCCACGGAATTTGAAGGCCGTCCAGTTCCAAAGCCCATGATCGAAATTCCTTATCATGGATTTGACAATCGAGTTGAAAATGGTGTATTAGATGAGGACAAGCAGTAGGATGTTTTCTTATAGTGTTGTATGAAAAATCTGGTGCTAGGGATCCTTATCCTTTCCTTTGCTCATTTGCTTTGAAAGGAAAAAGATAATCCTCCTAGGAGTGCCCAGTGTCCATGCTACAGAGAATGAGTTTGTACTATGATGAATGATTGATCTGATATGTTCTCTTGGTGAATACAAATGGCTATTTTTATTCGTTGCATCCTAAGTGAAAAAGTTAATCTTTATTCTTTTTGGTTAATGGTTTCTCATTCCTGCCATGATATTACTTTGAAGTATCTATGATGTAACTTTAAGTTTTGTTTGGTAAATTTCTTATGCAAAGTGATGAATGCTATTTCTAATACAATCTGTTGAAATTCTGATGCTTTAGAGCTATCACAAGTGTGTGATTTTTCTTTTTCTTTTTTTTCTTTCTTTATTTATTTTTTATTTTGATTTTACGCCATTTAAGTATAAATTGATTGCCTAAGTAACTGCATGGACCTTGACTATTTTTGTATCTACTTCAATTGAAAATATTAATTGAAAATACTGAAAGGTGATATGGCTGTCTTTTATTTATTTATTATCACAATGATGCTACCTCTTACTGGCAGGCGTGTCACACTAGCACATGCAGAATGTCAAGATATTTTAACAGTTCTCAGGTCAGTCAACCCTGTAAATTCATGGCATTCTTCTTACCATCTGCAGGCAGGTTTCCATGAGATAAGGTGAACTCAGCGTGAAAGAAATTCACTCTGACTGCAACACAGCCATTGCAGCTGTTTATTTGAGGATGATGGTCACCAAGGTAAGAATTTTTTTTAGGCCTCTATTTTGGTTTTTAACTAATCTTTTTGCTGTAGTATTTAAAGTGAATATGTTTCTCTAATATGCATTAAAGACCATAACTAGACTTTTTACCAATTGTTGCATTTTAACTGAGTTTGTTATTAATCCACTGATTGTCCTGCACCTGGGTTTACATTCCTTCTGGCATTCCTGAAAATCTGAAATGACAACATAAAGGGCCAATGGGTGGAAATTTGACTAAGTGAATTTTTTATGACTTGCCTGCTCCCCTTCGCCATCTGAAAATCTCACATACTTTCTGCTTAGATGCTATGGGAAGGGCTTTTGCAAGTGTTCAACATATAACTATATTTTACCTTCCCTTTTTTGTCGTGTTAGTTGCTAGAACCTTTGCTATTAGCTTTTTTACACTGTCCACTATATACAGATTTTTTCCGCAGTTTCTCCCCCTTGTTCTTTGCATGAATACCAGCCCAGCAAACTCATTTTTTCCTTCCCCATTCTGCACTAAAATCCTCATCAAAATGAGTATTCATGCAGTTCGTTTCTTGTCAATATGTGTCTTACAACTCTTTCATGATCTACCATGGCTGACACTGCTTCTGTACCGTAGTCTGTACAACTAGCTTGTTTATTACAATCAGAACCTTGTTATAGGTTGATCTTGTGTTACTGTATAAAGTAGATGGTGCAAGTGTGCAACAGAGAGAGAGATTGAGAGGGAAGAGCCTGGGGACATGGAATATTATTTGGATCATATATCAGTGAATGACTATAATTGTCTGTCTTATAAGAATGAACAATATTTCTTCTACATTGCGTGTCTTCTTGGTTCAACATGTATTCTGTATAGAGTTGCATTACTGTTACAGAAAAACTTTGTAACTTCATTTGTTTTCCTATATATTAAGATAATTCGTACTGCTCTTCAGCTTGAAATTTGTCTCCAATGGGCCTAACACCATCTTTGTGTTGAAGGTCTTGAGAGATATAGAATCATAGGTAAAATGCACAATGATAGAACTCTCTTATGAACAATAAGCTTACGGAATTGACACTGTAGATACACTTGAAAATTTTACTATAGCTTCTTCTAGGGGATTGGAGAACTAAGCCCTTCTTGATATGACAATGGATATTGAGGTTGATATCTCCTGGAAGGAAAAGCAGTCCTCCTGAAAGAGGGTCTCTTCTTAAGATGGTTCAGAGTTTTCTTTCTGTAAAATGTCTGAAACATTGGTGTCGCTTTCTCTCTGATCTTGAAGACAACCAAAAAGAGTAGCCTGTAAGTTAAGATGAGTAGGAAAATTCCGCCTAAGTCCCACCACTTGGACCGGTCCAAGGGAACCCCAAACATTTTTGTGACGATATACCTTCCCGTTAATTTGGGATCACCAGGTATAAGTGGATCAAACGTGAGACCAACAAGATCGTTTTTGTATCCACCCTGCATTTACCAAACTTTAAATTAGTAAAAGTCGACATCTAAATTTGACGGTGGTATGATGTATGAACCCTCTGACCTTATTGTTAAATGATCTGAACTTAGTGCCAACATTAATATGTGTTAAAAGTGTAACTTGTGTTTACACTCTTTAGTATAATTTGGCATGCATAGTAGCAAATATTGATAATTATTACCTGTATTGCCCAGGATCCAAAACTCAGGTATGAAATAGGATAGCGCCAAAACACCTTAGGAAGATCAGGTAGTAGACGGAAAAAGCCTGAGGTCATCATCATTATTCCCTGCATAATAACAATTTGTGATCAGAAAAGTCTTGTATTATAAGTACATGTAGAATAGTCATGAAACAATTAGTTGGTCTTACAATTACTCCAGCCCCTGTGACTAGTCCCATTAAAAAGTTGGGAACTAGTGAAGCCACCACCATCATACAGCTCTCAACTGCTGAAATGCTTGCAAAAAGACTGAGGCAGTAGTATACGTAGTGAGAGAATTCTGGACGGAATTTCACCATGTACCAAGTTATAGTCCCTGAAGCTGTTGCTATTGCTACCAGGTATGGGAATGAAGAGAGAAAGTTCGATAGAATATAAACTACAACTCCATAGTACCCACTGAGCCTCTCGCGATAAAAGATCTGCAATAGATAGAAATTTAGCATTGTGATTTAAAACAACAGTCCTTTCCTAAGAATTTAGAATGCAATGCTTGCCTTCATTTCTTCGATGAAGGATGGAAAACCTCCAATAGACATAAAAGTCATGAAACCTGATACGAATCCACCACACGCTCCTCTAGCCAAGATTGCACTGTAACCAGTGCCAACATCATAATAGATGGTACCCACACATATAGATACTACTACGTAGACAACTATCCGTAGCCAATAATATCCGATATCCCTGGACATATTTACAAAAGACCTCCTAGTCAGTGTTGTTAATTGCTTCCACCAGCTGGCTTGGCTACCCTTTGGTGCTTCTGTTGGTAGTCCTGCCTGCAAATAGATGGTTATCATTTAGGACTGACATAAGTTGCGTGGTTTTTTTTTTCCTTTTTCTTTTTTACTTTTCATGTTTAGATGAAATTTAGATTACATTGACTTAGCAAGCTTGTGTATAGGATGCTTACAATTGATGTTATTTCTTGGATCCTTGCTCGGGTCCGTTCTGCATACTCTGACCGCCTGTACTTCTCAATCAGCATTGCTTTTATCTGTGCTGTTTCCATTTCCATCATAGGATCTGATAACGTTGTGATTTGCTGCAGAAATCGGACAAGGAAAAGGCGAAAAAACAATATTAGATTGAGAAATAATTTAATTTGTAAATCTTAGGGTAACATGATCTTAATTTGTGCACATACTCGGGCTTGGTAGGATCCCTTCAGTGTAGCTGTAACCTTATCAAAGTCTGAGTTGATACAGCGCAGAAAATGGTCTGAGGGATTCCTTTTACTTGGGCATGGGAATCCAGCTTGTGCAAAGAACTGTAATGGTTAATTATATAGATTATAAATTTTTGATCTTTAAAAAATCTAGAATAGAATTGAATCATTATTAATTTTTTGCATTAAACATAGTTTTCGTATTCATTTCCTTACCAGAACAGCTTTTTTAGCATCGCCAAAGTAGACCAGCTCACCAGAAGACAGTAGGCAAAGGTCATCAAACAAGGTGAAAACTTCACTGCTAGGCTGGTGAATTGAAGAGATGACTGTCCTGCCCCCATCTCGTGCCACGCTCCTCAGGGCCTGGACTACGAAGAAAGCTGAAGCACTATCAAGCCCAGTGGTTGGCTCGTCAAGAAACAAGAGTCGAGGGCGTGTGAGTATTTCAAGGGCAATGCTTAATCTCTTCTGCTCTCCACCACTTATGCCCCTCAGATGCCAGTTGCCAATTATCGTATCTGCACACTCTTGGAGACCCATTTCCATTATGGCCCCTTCTACGATCCCTTCGATCTCTTCTTTCGTCAAGTTTGGTGGAAGCCTCAAATATGCCGAGTAAGTGAGTGTCTCTCTTACTGTCAGAGTTCCAAGGAGTACATTCTCTTGCGTCACATATGCCTGAAATTACAGTTAAGTGACTTAAGTCAACAAGTTTATTCTTTTGTTGTATATTTATGTATTTTTTGTCCAAAACTTTACTTCATATTAACTACTTACCACTCCACCATATTGCAGTCCCTTCTTTTGGCCATTTAGTAGAATTTTTCCAGTCATGACAACATTTGCTGAGAGTCTGCCTGCGGAAGGGACAGTTGGAGAAACCAAATGCTATCAAATTTGTATATACAAAGCAGATTTGCTGGTAAGCAATAAAACTCCTACTTCGTCTGTGTTCTTTTCTATACTACTTGACTATTATCTTCCGTTAATTCCTTTTTTTTTTTTTTTAATTAAGTATCGAAAAATATACCACTTAGAAGCTACACAAATTATGGTTTTTCTCACTATCAGTTTAGCTCTGTTTTAAGCTAGTGTTGCCAAACATAACCGAAATCCTTGATATGATTATGAACTTACATTCAACAAATCAATCATGTAAATGGGTGATCCATGAATTTGCTTAATATCCAATGGTTAGTTATCTCTAATACATAATCTCTCCTTCCGATGTTACTATAAGTTAAACTACTCATAAGTTTTAAGGTGCTAGTTTTTGCGCGGACACTTAAAAACTGACAAGTAATATCGCACTTTTATCTTAACCAAACAAATAATATTGCCTTAGTTAAATGGTCATATATTGCGGAACAAAGGGAATACTGTATAAATTTTCAACCACCATTTGAGTTTCAATTGACTTGTATAGGACACATTAATTGCTAAAGCTCAAAGTTGAGCAGTAAAATGGCACAAATTTAGAGAAAAAATTCTAAGTTTTTGGCATACCCTACATTGGTTAGCTGTTAATGAAGCTGGCAGTGAGTTTGGTGGAAGCATTAAAACTGAGTTTATGGAGGGTAGTTGAAGTTCAGTCATCTCTTTACAACTTATTTAAGAGAGAAAGAGAAATGTCCCTTTTTTGCAGTTAGATAGATCTTAATGCTCTTGTTTCCCGGGCTGGTGCACTCCTTTAATATAGGATGCTTAAAATTCCACGAGTTGTACGTAGACGAGATTTGCACTCATATCTTAACTACACTCGATATATTCCAGCTGTTTCGATTTTATAGGTGTATTACGAAATTTATATGGTTAGTCTTTAGAATAAGGAGTAGATTGTTTTATTTTGTGACAGAATTAATTAACCAAAATTGAGTTAATTGCTCTTAATTTTGGATATGATCCACCAAACCAAAATGGTCCATCCAATGCAATCTAGATATACCTCTGAAAATTGCACCAATTAATTAATCAACATGTGCTCTTTAATGATTTGATTTATTGTTTACAAAAGGACCACTTAACATTAAGATTAGTCACCCAAATTCAAGAAAAGATAAAAATGTGAATAAATCCAAATGAAATTCAAAAGGAAAAAAAAAAAATTGAACCAAAATTACCTCCTCAAGAAGGAAATGATGCTTTAAGTTGAGACATAAATGTAAAACACTATACACCTAGAATGCAAGATTTCCAAAACCCATTTTCGGGGTTTCTTTTCTTTATTAATTTATTGGCATATGATTTGTTCATGTACTTGTTCCTATTTTAAGCACACAATCAATGTCTTTTCTTTTTGAACTTAAGCAAAAAAAATGATAAAGTGTAAATAAAGTTAAAAAGATTCAAATCTATAAAATTACCTGTATCATTATGGACAAAATAATGGCTTATCATCTAACATTAACTCCAAAAAAAACCCATCAAAAAGATAATAATTGACATATCACAAAGTTGAATATTCTATTTATTTATAGATCTAAGCATCTTAACTCCTAAACTTTCAAAAATGGTGAATTATTATAATGTTTTTTCCCAAATCCTACAATATATAACTATTCTTTTTACACTTTTTCTATCTATAAGAATTTGTATGAGCTATTTTAGTTGGTATAATCCAAGTAAAATACTCCTTATGTGAGATTAAATTCCGTTTACATCGGTTATACTCAAGTGATGAGAAGAAAGAAAATAATCAAGTGAAGTGGGGAGAAAAGAAAGAAAAAAGAAAAAACCTGCCAATGAATCAAGAAGAGTAGATTTGCCAGAACCAGAAGGACCCATAATAGCCATAATCCTACCAGGCTCAGCATGACCATTTATCCCTTGAAGTATCCTCTTTGTTGGCTTATTCCCAAAACTTGGTAGCACCACCGTTAGATCTTCCCATACTAGATACGCCACTGCTGCACCACCAATACCACCGCTTCCTCCACCGCTTGTCTCCGAATCATCGTCGTCTTCATAGACGGCGTTTTTGTAATTCCTGTGTGAACCACCTGGTTCGTTTGTTGCTAATGCTGTTGCTGCCTCGATCTCCATACTACTATTACTATTACGATTACTATTATTATTATACATAGCTGCTCATATAAACCCTCTCAAAAGAATAGCTAAGTATATAGTATACGATCATATAACTTATGAGTCTTAACTCCTAAGAGTCCAACTGCCAACAACGTAACACTTAGTATTTTTTTTTGTATGATGTGATATAACATTAATAATGATAATAATGTATTAATTATGATAATGTGGTGTAGTTGAAGTATACTAGTATTTGATGTTATGCACTAGAACTAGTAGTACAAATTCTAATTTACATAAGATTTTTAGAGAGAGAAAGAGAGTGAGTTAAAAGGGTTTAAGAACACACGTAATGTGATATATGGGTGGCAAGTGGAGAGAGAATTTAATGCAAACAACGCTGTTTTTAGGTAGAGGGGAGGAGTATGAATTTGTTTCACCGCTACCAAAAAAAATTAAATTAAATGTGGTTTTCACATTCTTGCTATTTATGGCTCCATCTACTATCCAATTCTTTCTTATTGTTAAGAGTTGTCAATTTGTTATGGGTCTACTTGAAACAATCAAATATCTTAGATCATTTTGGTGGGTGGATTATCTAGCTATTTGATTTGTTGAATATTGATACGTGATTTAATGAGTCTAGTTTGTTTGCGAGCTGTTTGTGTTGATGTTGGTTTGGGATCGATAGAGGTTGTGAGTAGGTTCGAATGTACCAATCAAATGAAGTTAATGAGTTGTGATTATCAGTATTAATACGTATTAGTAAGATAGCAATTGTAAAGTATAGCATAACTCTATAAGGTTAGAAATGTAAAAAAATATCATTGTGTGAAAGAAGGATATTATATAATTTTGAATTTGAGTATGTAATGAGAATTGAAATGTGGATAAAAGGGATTATTCCCCATCGTATATTCTCATAGGTGGATAATCGAAATATTAGTTTTAATAAAAACACAAGAGACCATTTTTCCATCAATGAAAGGGACGGGAATAGATATTCTTTACACTATGGAGTTGCAATATCTTATTTTAAAGAAACTTGTATCTCCAATGCAACATACTTCGTAATTACATAATGACAAATAGACATGCATATATCATGGGTAGTGAGAAATTAGTGTGATATTGTCCTTCATTAATTTGGCCTTATCAAGGCCCAGTACCACATTGATCAAGGCCCAATACCACAGTTATTCTGGGTCCTGGAAATCTAGAAGCCATTAGGCCCACTAGGCCACTAGAATCATGGGTCCTGAACAATGTCAGACACTTAGAATGTTGGACATCTGAATACTTTTATTTGGGTCCATATCATTTATTTTAGTAACTATAATTTGAATTAAACTATGTTAAGGTGTTCAGGTTGATACGCACAATTTATTAATCAACATTGCAATTTATTAAACTATGTTATGTCGATATGTTTATGCTCCACTATGTTATGGAGTATGTATGGTGGCTTTTGTTTGATTAATTATGTGTCAAGATGAACATGATAACTTACTCTGTCAGTTAATAATTTTGTAATGTATTTTTCGCCAGCAAATTCATGGATGATTTTAATGTTATTATAATTTCATGAAACTAATCAACATTTTCTGGCTTACATAAGTTTCTCACTGCATATATATTGGAGTATGTCATGTTGCTGAATCTTTTGGTTCTGCGTATGCAATTGCTCCGTACATGTGCAAATGTAAACCTTACAGTTGAACTTTGTCTTCAGGATCGAGATGATGAAGTGCATAATAAAGTTGGAGACCAGACACCCCTTGGTCTAAGATATGCCTTCTTGTAAGTACTTTACTTTGCTGATTGTAGAAGCGTTTTGTTTTTGCTTTCGGGCTTGGAAAAGCTAGCAGTAAAATGTTGAAGAGCCTTATGTAAGGCAGTGTTTCACACTTTCACCAGGACCACTGCACCACTCTTAAATATTGCAACGCAAGATCACAATTGATACATGAACTGTTTGAATGTTGTTCTGCAATGCATTTCACATCCTGTATCTGTGTTGGACCCTCAATACATTCAAACACTTGACAGTTCATATATTTTACTATTAAAACAGCTTATCTGACACTTGGACACGAGTCTGTGTGTAGAATGTGTACACACTTCTGAGTAACATAGTTAAGAAAGAGGAATATCTCAATTGTATGAACTTGTTAAACTCATGCCTAGGAATTCCTTTTTCTGCATGTAGGAGGATAACCTAAGGACTTTTAACAATCCTTCGGAACCATTACAGGTTAACATGCATACGCGAACTGTATGAACTTGTTAGCTAATGAACATGACATTATACGGAGTAGTAATTAGATACAATAATATTCATTTTGGTTATCAAATTAGTGAAATTGATGTGAAAGCTTTGCCAATTCTATGATCTTGTTATCTGTTTCAAACTTTTTTTTTGTTGTTCTGTATTTCAGTTTTTCATTTTTATGCTAGATAGTAGAAGATATTGTATTTATATCACATTTTCATTATTGTTCCTCATTAGACTTCAACTTTTCGCTTTCTTAGAAATTTGTATAATACAGAGTACCTTCTCATCAATAACTACTTCATTACTTCATATTGTTCCCAATCTATAACACGAGTATCTACGACTTCTGTTTACTCCCTTCGTTTCGGATTAATCAAAATACAGAGTAGTAGACTTGCCCCTATTTGGACCAACAAGGGGAAAGGAAAGAGTTATGTTTGTATCAAAACCAAACACTTCTTCTCATACCACAAACTGCTAATTCAACGGCCACGTGTCATTACCTTACTAACTAAACAACCTTTTTCCAATAACGCGGGTTTAACTTTCATAACCGATCTTCTACTCCACCTCCCTTCCTCCATTTTCACGTGCTTTCCACAGATCCTAGCCGTAGATTCTGTTATCTCATCTCCATCCTTCACGTGTCCCCATTAACACGTGTCATCATATCAACGCCCAACCTATTTATCCGAAATCCCATCAAAATTCCTATATAAACACCCCACTTCTCCTTTCCATTTTTCAATCTACTTTAAATCTACTAAAAGAAATTAATTGATTGAAAAAAAGTGCGCAATATTTTTTAATTTTTTGAGATCTTCAAATTTGAATTAGGTCCCACGTTAATGGCGATGAGCTTAACACACCAGATCGGAGCACTCTCAGGAACACCACTTCCGGTGGAAACAACCGCAACAAACACCGGAGATTCATCATCGACACTGAACGCATCGGCGGTGTGGAAATCTCCAACACCGGCGCTAAAATGCAAAGTGACACGCCAAAGCGGTGACCTAACCGACATGCTATCACCCCCAGTGAGCCCATGTCGGTCTCCCCTAAGAGCTGATCTAACCGCAGCATGCCAGGCATTTGCAACTACGGAACATGAAACCGCGGTTGAAAACGAGTACAAGATATCTTCAAAAGATAAGCACGAGAAAGGCGTGCCGGTTTACGTGATGATGCCGTTGGATAGTGTTAAGATGGATAATACAGTGAATCGTAGGAAAGCGATGAATGCGAGTTTACAAGCGTTGAAAAGCGCGGGAGTAGAAGGGATAATGATGGATGTGTGGTGGGGTTTGGTGGAGAGAGATAATCCTGGGGAGTATAATTGGGGTGGTTATGTTGATTTGATTGAGATGGCTAAGAAACATGGGTTGAAGGTTCAGGCTGTTATGTCATTTCATCAGTGTGGCGGTAACGTCGGCGACTCCGTCTCGTATGTTTCTCTACCCTTCTATTTTATCTCTGCTTTCAACCAAAATTTGTCATCTTATTTCTTGCATCATTTCTTTCTGTTATATGGTCATATAACGGGAGGATTATGGAGTGGAGGAATGGATGAACGGTTTGTCCCTCCATCTCCCCCAGAGTGATCTGGGTTCGATCCTCACCCCACCCCTTTTATATATATATAGTCATATGAAGGAGGTGTTAGTTTTGTTTATGTATGTTTTTGTATTTGGTATATTGTGTTCAACATGTTAGATTAAGATTAGATATTCTTCTTACCAATTTTTGATCAAGGATTCCCTCAGTAAGGTGTATTTTTAGGATAATTTGTTCGGGTTTGTGTTTGATTTGTTGATGGATTGAAATATTTTTGGGTATAAAGAAGAGTGTGGTTGTACACATCAGAAATTATACGTATAAAGAAATAAGATGATTGCTTAAGGAAGAGTGTGGTTGTACACTAAATATATCAGATTGAGTTTAATTTGGGTTGTTTTGTGCTCAAGTTGAGTCTGAGTTTCTCCCAAAAATATTAAATTGGGTTCGTGTCGGGTCAAAGGTTTTAAACTCTAAACTAGAAACGTTGAAAGCAATGTTTTCTTAGTTAGGTAGTGTGAACTTTCACCTACAATTCCACTTATCTTATGTTATCTAATCTAAACTTTCTTATCTAAACTCATACAATGTATGAACCAATTAACGATCATTTGATTTTATCTGAACTTATTAACTTTTGTATCATTCTATCTGAATTTATCGATGTTTTATTTTATCTTATCTGAAATTATTAGCACTTATTTTAGGTCTTATTGTGCAGAAGTTTCCAACGAAGAGTTTAACTAGGATTTAAATATTTTGGAGATAATAGCTAGAACAATCCACACATTATCAATATATGATTGAGAGTGTTAATGTTGATGAATAATTTGTTGTTTGGTTATAAGAGTTTGGATATGTGGAAGATTTTTGTTGATGTCTTAGCGTAAATGTAATGGAGCCGTAGATTAAACGATTTTTTATTAGCCATACAATTTTTTTTGTAATTTATTTTGTTGTGGCTAAAGGTGAACTATAAAAAAGAGTGTACTTTTCTTGACATTATTATTTATTTTGGCAAAATTCACGTGAGGCTGATGTCAATTAAGAGTTCATGACAAACTGACAATGTTGCGGTACTTGACAAAAGTTGGAGTGGATTGCTTTTGGGATTTTCTTCTTTTCTTGAGTTTGTTGGTTGCTTTCACTTTCCTTTAAAAAAATTATTCGATTTTTAGTATTGAAGTTTGTTGTAGTGTAGACCCTTTAATTTTATTAATCTTTAAACGGATGTGGTTATTAAATGTATGCTAGATTTGATTAGGGGTTGGTTTACGAAATTGAGTTCATTTACCGTAGTCACCATCATATCATTAAAGGATGATGACGTGTGGCCTATCTTTCAGGGACGGAGGATTTTCTCTTTTTAGTGAGCTATACTCACATTAAAGTTTGTTTTGTGATGTTGATTGAATTATATATTTAATGACTTGCTTTTTGGGGGAATATTAGAAGTGATGCAACATTCAGCTAATGACTTATTTTACATCTGTAAGAAACTGAGGATTGTAGATGATATGTTTTTGGGCATGCTTAATAGTTAATAGATCATGCAGAAGGAGGTAGATTAATACACCAAGTTCCTTATGGATGAAGGAATTAAATTATGAATAAGATATGGTAGTACTTGTGCATGATTACTTGTTAGATTTGTTCATAGTTTGATCTCGGTAATTGATGTCTTGCTTTGCCTTTTGCGTGTACAGAATTCCTTTGCCAAAATGGGCAGTGGAAGAAATGCAGAAGGATCCGGATTTGGCATATACTGATCAATGGGGCAGAAGAAATTTTGAGTACATATCACTTGGTTGTGATACCCTTCCAGTCTTGAAGGGACGAACACCAGTGCAATGTTATTCAGATTTTATGCGTGCTTTCCGAGATCAGTTCCAACATCTCCTTGGCGACACCATTGTGGTAAGATCAATTTTAAGCTGTAGGAGACTTAATTTGTTGGTTGAGTCGAAGATGAGTCAACCAAACAATGATTAAGACCTGTTTATTTTGCCCAATTCGTAATTGTTTTACTGAAGACAAAAACATCTACTTTTAACAGGAAATACAAGTAGGGATGGGTCCTGCTGGTGAGCTGCGATACCCTTCATATCCGGAACAAGATGGAACATGGAAGTTTCCTGGAATTGGAGCCTTCCAGTGTTTTGACAAGGTATACTTTTTTATCTTATTCGTTTATGTAGTCTAATGAGTGATAAACTCTTTATGGGTTCAAATTTAATTATGTACGTTATTCCTAAATTGGTTGGTTGCTGGTATCCAGTACATGATTAGCAGCTTAAAAGCTGCCGCAGAAGCTTTTGGTAAACCAGAATGGAATTCAGGTCCAACTGATGCAGGCCACTACAACAATTGGCCGGAAGACACTCAGTTCTTCCGTAAAGAAGGTGGAGGCTGGAACAGCCCCTATGGCGAATTCTTCCTCACTTGGTACTCCCAAATGCTCTTGGATCATGGCGAGAGGATCCTCTCCTCAGCCACTGAAATCTTTAGGGACACGGGTGTCAAGATCTCAGTGAAAATTGCTGGTATTCACTGGCACTATGGGTCCCGCTCCCATGCCCCTGAGCTGACGGCTGGGTACTACAACACAAGGTATCGTGATGGGTACCTTCCTATTGCTCAGATGTTGGCGCGCCATAATGCTATTTTCAATTTCACTTGCATTGAGATGCGTGATCATGAGCAGCCACAAGATGCTTTATGTGCTCCCGAGAAGCTTGTGAGGCAAGTGGTTTCAGCCACTCAAGAAGCACAAGTTCCATTAGCAGGGGAGAATGCTCTGCCACGGTATGATGAACATGCACACAAGCAGATTTTGAAGGCCTCTGCATTAGAGGTGGATGAAAACTCAGGCGAAAGAGAAATGTGTGCATTCACATATCTGAGGATGAATCCGGACTTGTTCCAAGCTGACAATTGGAGGCAATTTGTGGCATTCGTGAAGAAAATGAAAGAAGGAAAGGATGCAAAACGATGCTGGGAGCAAGTTGAGAGAGAGGCCGAGCATTATGTGCATGTTACACAGCCTCTCGTTCAAGAGGCTGCTGTTGCTCTCATGCACTAGGTGTTGAGTTTAGAGAATACAAGGAGTACTTACAATATCAATTTTTACTTCATTTATCCAAATCAATTTGTAATGTAAGCCATGATATAAATGTTCAACTTCTTTTACTTCTGATCAGTACCCCTTTTATTATTATGGGGACTGTTTACTATGTAAAAATCAAACCATTATCATATAAATCTACGAAGCCTGAATATAAATTTGTATGACCTGAAAGCTTGGTCTGAATATTTTCTCCTGTAAGACAAACAAATTAAATTATAATTATAAATTTAGTAATATCTCAGAAATATTTTAGATATTCACTGATCTATATCCTATTTATGTCCTCTCGCATTTTTCTTTGTTTTTTTGGCATAAATAGCGTAATTTGTGGGATAATGAGACATTCAATAACTCAAAATTGCTTAACAATTGAGGGGAAAATAAAAAAAAAAATAAAAAAAAATAAATAAATAAATTATCAGTCCATGAATAATTGTGCTGTAATTGACTTAGTGATTGGCCTGTAATTGAAGTTTCTGATCTGTAATATTAAAGAAATTAATTATATTTAGCTTCTTCCCTTCGTAGAGTATATTTTCATCAATTATAATCCCGTCATTTTCTTTGATATCAAATTATCAGTAATTGATGTCATTTTCTTTGAAATCAAATAATTAATAATTGATATCCCTAGCAAACCAGGCCTCCAATGGCTGTTGCCATCACTCTATTCATTGTGATATTCTTATCGATTAGCCTGCACTTTACAGGTATATGTTTCTTGCCATATCTCGATATTAAATGTTGTTTAGGTTATATATGTACATGATTTTAGGAAGAGTTAGTTTTTGCATTGGTATTCAATACATTTTAATAGAGCTTTGATAAATTAATTAAATGAAAAAGTTTGTTAAGTGATCATATATATATATATATGATCTTATATCATCTCAATTGGAGATGCTCTGAATTGACGTTTACTCCCAAACTTGTACTAATTTTGTAATGACGATTTAATAATGTAGAGGCACAAATTGGTGTATGCTATGGAATGATTGGAGACAACTTGCCGAGTGAGAAAGATGTTGTGAGCCTCTACAAATCCAATGGCATAGGAGCAATGAGACTCTATAGTCCAGATATAGCAGCTCTCCAAGCCTTACAAGGCTCCGGCATTAAACTCATGCTAGACGTCCCCATTGAAAACCTTCGGTCTCTAGCATTCAATCCCTCAGCGGCGAGGCAATGGGTCAGGACCAACGTCGTGCCCTTTGCATCATCAATCAAATATATTGTTGTAGGGAATGAAGTTAATCCTTCCCATAAATTCGCCTCATCAGTCTTACCCACCATGCAAAATGTTCACAACGCATTGATATCAAACAACTTACGAGCCATTAAGGTTTCTACATCCGTTAGTACAAAAATTATGATGAACACGTATCCACCCTCAAATGGACAATTTAATTACACATCATACATTACCCCAATTATCAAATTGATAAATAGTAACAATTCACCTTTGTTAGTTAACATTTACACTTACTTTGCTTACATTAATAATCAGCATGATATTAATCTCAACTACGCATTATTTACGTCCCCTGGGACTGTGGTTACTGATCCGAATAACGGCAAAAATTACCAAAACTTGTTTGATGCAATGGTGGATTCAATATATGCAGCTCTAGCAAAGGTGGGTGCACCTAACACGGCGATTGTAGTGTCTGAAACCGGATGGCCATCAGCAGGGGGGGTCGCAGCCACAGTGAACAATGCCGGAACTTATTATAGGAATTTGATCAATCATGTGAAACAAGGGACTCCTTTAAAACCAGGGCAAGCACTTGAGACTTATTTGTTTGCAATGTTTGATGAAGATAAGAAACCAGGGCTATAACTGAGCGCCATTTTGGTCTATTTACCCCTACTAAGTTTCCTAAATATGGCCAACTTAATTTTAAATGATTAATATCTTCCTAATACTTTAAGATTCACTGTTTTAATAATTGCTGTTGTTGAACATTTTTATCATGTATTTCAGTATTTGTATTACAATAAAGAAGTTTTAGGCTCAATTATTCTAGAATATATATAGCAATTATGTTTCATGACAACATATTTTTATTATCCAAAATCTTTAGGTACAAGAAACAGACCAATAATTAGCGAGATTGCAATAAAAGTATTATTTTTGTAGTTCAAGAGATGAGGTTCCAATTTTGTTATGGATACTTGACGAATAAAGGCACCATATATATGAACAATTCTATATAGCCAAATCAATAATAGTCATCGTCTAAAATTGTGGATTATAGCTTTAATTTTAGTTACATTTTCGCTTTTTTGGGCCTAGAAAGGAAAGAGGATGAAGTGTATCTCATATACCCCCATAACATCTTGGGAGACCATTTAATTGGTTGGAATAGACCGTTTTGCCTTTAAACTATCGATGTAGTCAATTTAATATATGCCTCTCTTCATTAATTAACTCAAAGCCATTATGAGCCTCTATGTGAATGACTAGTTGGTGTATATGGTTCCAAACAAAATTATGCACCCCAACCCTTATCGTTAATTGAGATTTCAACACCGAGTGAAATCTCTGAGTTTGGTCGGATTTCATATATTATAGCCTTCAAATTTATACTATGGTGATCATTTTCGAATGCGACTAGGTTAGGCATTAACGAGTTTCATAATGTTTCCAAAGGGCCCCATGATACCTACTTGGTGCTCGGAATCATCTCATTCATGCCTTAACCCACTTCTCAACTCGTAGTAATATGCAGAGTTATATAACAACACGTGCATTTATGCAGAGTAATATGTTGACTACCACTGACTCGCTACAATAAAACCCCGAAATAGTAAAAAAGATTGTATCTAAATCAAATTCATTCTCGAGACTTTATAGGCTTACTGGTAGGCCTGTTACGTTTCCAAACCTACTTTTATGATCTTAGGGGTCATTCCCCACATTCACTTCAATTTTTAAATTTTTTTAGAAATTTGTTCTAAATCGTGGATTATAGGCTTTCATTTTAGATAATTATCAACATTTTCGGACTCGAAAAGAAAAGAGGACAAGGTGTTTTTCAGGGACCCCGCAAAGCCCTCAGGATGCCATTTGGCTAACTAAAACCATCTGCTTTGCCTTTAAACTATCAGTTTAGTCCGATTATGTGCCTCATTTCATCAACTCAAAGCCACCACGAGTAGTTTTGTGGCTAATTAATGGTCATATATAGTTCCAAACAATATTATATGACTTTGCAATGCATACCCTATCACCGCCTTATTATAGAATTCAAATTTGGCCTCCAAATAACACTTTTGAACTCGAAAAGATTATGCATTTAGGTGTCTCCTGGGATTTCAAAAGGGCCAAAAAAGCCTACTTGATCTCCAAAACTATCTCATTCATCCCTTAACCCCATTTTCTCTCTCTAAATCTCTTGTTGTCGATGTGTTATCTTTCCTTTGCCTAATTGCCTTAAGTTAGTCTTGCCTTGATCAAGTTTCACATATTTTCACCATTATTTTTCTAATAGGCATTACAAGTATAAACAAATATGTTAAGTTGTAATATAATTATAATTGCCTAAAATTGTTCTCGTAGACCGTAGTATGGAGCAACGTTACGTTGCCAACTTGCCATACCTAGAACCAAATAAGTCACATGACATACACGATATATCTATTTCATAGAGAAAATAGGATAGTGGTCCAAAATAAAGATAAAAAAGGGCAGTACGCCGTTTTCATGGCCGAAACACGTTCGTTGTTTTTGGATCAAAAGCCGACCACGACAACTATATACCGTCCTCTATATCGATCTCTCTGCCTACGATTTTTGATCTCCACAAGCTCAACCCTCAACGAAGCTCTTGATTTTATTCTGTTTACTTTATGAAAAAATAATTATTTGGTGGTTTGTTGATTAGTCAAAAGATTTGAGGTGATTATAACACCTTGTATGAGTACAAATCTCATCTTATCCGTTAATATATAAAACTGAGTCGTCGTTCCCCTCATGTGATAGGAGGGGTCTTCCTTTATATCTTACTGTAAAAAATAAATTTGTCTGAATTTGTGTATGTATAGCCTTTAAGTTTGGCCTTCACATAACCTTTTTGGGCCCGACAAGATAATGTATCTAGGTGTTTTCCGAGGTTCCCAAACAACTATGAGAAGCCTATTATTTGATACCCGGAACGACGGAACCATCTCATTCATGCCTTGGGACACCCACTACTACATTTTTAACCAGATGCAACAGCCAATAAAGGGCTAATGCAACGTCATTTTTGTTACCGTCGCAATAAATTAGGCTAATGCAACGGATATTAGTTTACACTTCATAAGATAGAGCTAATACAACGGCTTTTTAGATCCGTTGCATTAGTTGAGCAGAAGAAGCTAATACAACGGCTAAATAAGCTAATGCAACGGCAAAGAAATTCAATAATACGGAGAGGCGCTGAAAATTTCACTTATTCCCTCTAATTTTTTCCCCAAATTTTGAACCTTCTACTACATCACCGCCACACTTACAAGATAAACCAAAAAGAAAACAAACTCTCTTATCCTCTCTCTCTCTCCTCCTTTCCCCAATTCCTCATTTTTTCTCAATCTCATGCTCCTACAATGGCAGTCGCTGCTACTCATTTCTTCGTCTACGCTTTAACCCTTCTAAAATTGGCTCATTAGTTTATTATTCATAAGAAATTTGGGTTGAGTTCTTTTTATAAGTTTTCTCTTTTCTTTGTTTCCTTCTCTTCCACTCAAATTCTTCTAATTTCTACTATTGCCCAAATCTCAAGGAAAATATCGTTATTTCTTCTCATTTTATGGGCTATTAGCCCCAATTTCAACTAGTAAAATTGGTGAGTTTGCTGATTTGAGCCTCGTTAATTCCGCCATATTTTTTTTAATAAGACTTTAATTCCGTCATTTACCTAGCTCATAAGTTAAATTAATTTTTGGTTTTTATCTTGTTGTCTTAATTTGGTGTTATATATGGAGTGGATTTCGATTTTGTGGTTATTTACCAAATCTATACTTTTATCAGTTCATAATTTTGTTGAATATTTTTTTGTTTTTTGTTTGGTGAATAGTTATGTATAGAACTCGTTATATTGTGGTCTTAGTTAGTGGTTTGCAATTCTAAAATATTTTGCTCTATAATTTATTTTTCTAAAAATTAATTATTTTGAAAATGGAGCTCCCCTTTCTAGATCTGTTTAAATTGTAGAAGAAAATTGAGGAATTAGGATAGGAAAGGGCCGATAACGACCAAAATATATGTAATCACTGTCGAGAATTTTATTGAAGGTTTTTACTTTTTCTCTACCACCTTATCAATGGAAGATCAAAGGTTTCTAGGAAATAGATAATTGTTTGTTGAATATGGTTTTGTAGAGGAAGTGAATGGAGGAGGAGACACACTTTGTGTGTGAGGTGTGGCTTTCACCATTCCCTCTTCAGCAAAGTCGTTGCTTTGGTTGTAGATCTCCCGTCATTCGCAAGAAAAAGTATAATCTTTCTCTTCATTTTTTAATCTCTTTTTGGATTATTTTATAGCTTTGATTTGATTTGCACGGTCTAATGTCGATTTTTATTTATTTATGCATGATTTTGTGAATTAATTTGAGTGATAGGTGGTATTATAATTGACTATGATTTGAGCTAATTTGAATTGGTAGATTGGTTTTGGGAAATTGGGTTTAAAAGTTTATGGTGTAAATCTAGAATGTGATTATAAATTTTTGTTGTAGCCTCCATTGTTATTGTTGTAGTTGTTATTATTGATATCTAGCCTTTAATATTGATATTGTTGTGGGTGTTGTTGTCTCTGCTGTCTACTGTTATGTAAATTTTAAATTTTAATAGTCGAAGAGCCACTGAAATTCTTAGTCAAAACTTATGACATACTTATGCATCTGTCTTTCAAATGGCCTATTTCTTGTTCTATAGATGATTTGTTGTCAGGTCAAATCTAGGATGCTTAAAAATATATGGCCTTTCAATTGAATGTCTTTTATTTTACTACGAATTGTAATTGACTTTGTAATTTTTTAATTTTAAGGTGCCCCTCTGTAGGCTACGATGCTTCTTCTGATTTCGGCTAGTTCTTTGTCACATTTCTTTCTAACCACTTATTTGAGGTAATGCTCTTTCGCCAACGTTATTGTGAATAACTGCATCTTGTAGACTTATAGTATGAAGTGATAAAAGTTACAAAATAAAGCTAATACTTGGGTAGCAGAACATTGTTTAGTGGTCCAATGCAATTTATATTAGAAATTGTTTCCTCTACCGGGTTCTTGTTTGAAGATTTTTCCTGCTGTCAGCTTTTTGTATCATGAGAAAGTTGTGAATATTGAATCTGTTGGCCTTTTGGGTTACTCTTAATAAAATGTAGTGGAAGACACATGGTTTGTAAAATCAGTTTTCCATTCTATTTAAATAATTATAGTTGATCAGGCCATTCTTGATTCTTGCTACTAATTTTCTTTATGAGTTTGTTTAGAGGTATTGGAGTATTGTTAATGTTCGTGTTGGATATGAGTTCACAGGGTATGATAATATGAAGATAAAGCTTCACAAAGACAATTTATCACTTTGAAATACTTTGCTTGGTTTCGTATAATTTTGTTGCATGTATAGTAGTTATCATACTCAATTCTGATTAAGGGTGTTTTTTTTTTTTTTGGTTTATTCTCCTGTTTTATTATCTATATATTAAAAGAGCACAAGGATCTTTGATTTTGTATACATGCTAACTTTAATTTTAATTGATTTTGCCTAGCTTAAATTGACAAATGTACAGAATGAAGCTTGGAAAACAGTGACAAGATATATAAGCAATAAAAAACAATCTCAGATCAATGTCAAAATGTGACTTCTTTAAGCTTTTGTGTTGCTGCAATGTTGGGATGTTTATGTTGGTTGTTATGTTGCTTTTGATAACTATAGGACATCTAGTGCTCTAAATTTATCTTTATTTTGATCCAAACACCTAATTTTGTTGTTAAAAATGGTTACAGGGAGAGCAGACTTAGTTGTTGTTCTTTTGAAGATATTGCATTCTTGAAAGTCTGTAAAATAGGGGCAATTGATGTGAAAGGGATGGGGGCTGTTTTTACTCATTGTATGGATAGCTGGGTGCCCTGGTTTATTGTTTTTTAGATGTGTTTGGTGTGTGCCCTCCTTATTTGGCTTATGGTTGCTGCAGGTTGCCGCTTCTGGTTTGGTTTCAGTGTTGGATCTGATAGTGGCAGATTAGCAGCTCTGGTTTAGGGTTCTACCTGCTTGTAGCCTGTTTTGTGCCTGTTGTGTTTTTGTTTGGTTTTGGGTTGGCTGCTGCCTATATTGGCTTTAGGGTGTTGTTGTGTTGTGGCCTGCGGGCTAACATGAGTATTATTGTATAGCTGGATTCTCCATGCGTTTTGAACTTTTCTCATGTTGATTATGGCATTGATCTTATAATTTATAGTTTAGTTTAGTTGTATTTCTATTATTTTATTCTATTTTACGTGTAGGTGCATGGGGAGCTAAATGGAGCTGAAGTATAGTAACTAGCTAGTCATCTAACAAATGGCGCATATATGTTGGCGACTCTTATTCAAGTTCAAGTTTGTGAAGATTTGGAAATTCCGGCTTAAATATATGTTGTAAATTTGTATTTTGGAGGATTAAATTAATTATATAACTTTTATTTATTATTAGTAGGGTGTCATACAAAAAACAAGAAACTAATATTTTATAATATACGTATTTAGCATTATAATTATTTTATATAAATTTAATGATATTTTGTTTCTTAGTATATTTAAATTTGTACTGACTATTTATACATATATTATATTACCATACCATTCAAAATAAAAAAATAAAAAAAAGATCAAATGATCAATACGTTGCAGTAGATACGTACTCCATATATCATTTGTATTAATTAGCTTCATCCGTTGCAATAGGTGTCAATTTCATCATAATTAGTAGTCAGTAATCTATTGCAACGGGTAATTTATACCGTGGCATCAGGTGTAGAGCTAACGCAACGGATTATAGCTGCCGTGGTATTAGGTGTTGTATACCGTTGCAATAGACTTACTGCAACGCCAACAAATGCCACGGTACATGGCCGTTGCATTAGGCCTAATGCCACGGAATTTGACGCCTAATGCAACGGATTTGGGGGTTGCAATAGGTAAAAAATGTAGTAGTGACCTTTCGTTTTTATTATAACTTATAATCTAAAATGTTTTACCTTGGCCTTGAGTTGGCCATGTTGCCTTGCCTTGGCCTTTTGGATTTTTGTATCCATGCCTTGGCATTAGTAATAGGATCTATTTTAAGGTGATTTGTGAAGGATGGAATATACCCTGTGAAATCATAACATTGCATATTGTTGAATGTATTAGAACATCACAAGTTTCAATCTTTACGCTTTTTGTAGTAGCTTTATATAAGATGATATGACCACTAATTTTACGTTTCATATCATATCCATTTTTCTCATTTGCTTAGACATGACCACTACTGCAATTCATAAACAAAACATCTAAACAAAAGTACATCTAAAGTGAGTGAAGAAACTTGTACTCTTCGAGTTCATTCATGTTCAATGCTTTATGTGTTGCAACCCTTATCTAGATTGACATGTAGTGATATGCTCATATACTTACACCCAAATACACATGCCTAACAATTGTTGAAGTGACAAACACTAAAAAATAAACCTCATTAGAAACACAAGTGGCTAACATATCTTCAACTTTCATATTAACTACTCGTACAATCAATTTTATCTTTCCAACCCCAATTATAATCACACACTTATTGTCTTTTTTAATCAAAAAAAAAAAGCTTAAGTTGTTTAGCACCTAATTCTTAAAAAAGAACCAATCAATCCAATATAAAAAAATCTCATCCAAACCCACAAAAATAAAACCAATTAAAATAGGGGAGAATATCCTTTTTAAACCCCCAAAAAAGGAAATAATAGATATTATAGATATTTAGATTATATTTTGTACTAGTCTGGTAAAACTCTATATATTGTGATCAATGGTATACACATGATTGGTTTTCCCAAAATTTAACAGGAAAAATGAATAAAAATAAAAACCTAAAAAAAACATCGTGATAATTCCCAAAAATGGGGGACTTCTCATATTGTCAAGACTGCAAGAAGAGCACCGAAGTGGTGTTTGACCACGCCGCAGGAGACACCGTCTGCGTCGAGTGTGGGCTCGTTTTGGAGGCCCATTCCATCGACGAAACCTCTGAATGGCGGACTTTTGCTAATGAAGGCCACGACAATGATCCAGTCCGAGTTGGTGGGCCTACTAACCCATTACTTGCCGACGGTGGGCTTTCCACCGTTATCTCTAAGCCCAATGGTTCGTCCGGTGACTTTCTCACCTCTTCTTTGGGCCGCTGGCAGGCCCGTGGGTCCAACCCTGATCGTAATCTTATTCAAGCTTTCAAGTCTATTGCTACCATGGCTGACAGGTTTTCAAACTTTTATATGCGTGTTTGATTTTGTTGTTTAGTTTGAGTTGAATTATGTGAATTACAAGTATGTAGGAAGCTAATTTATTGGGTAATTGATTAAATTTTGTGAGTTTAATTTATCAATTTTGTTTGTCTAAATTGGTTATTAATCATCAATTTGTTATATGGGTGATTGACTTCTTGGAAATTTGCTGATTAATTTCTTACGGTTTTTGGTTGTGTAATTGTGTTTGGTTGAATTAAGGAACATTCTGTATCTGTGATTAATATAGAAGCTTCTTTTTAATCAATTGGAGATGTTTGTGTGTGTGATTTTGTTAGTGATTTGATTCGAGGAATTGTCGAATCGAGTGTGCCCATATTGCTTATTACTCTATATAATGATATTTTGTGGCTATAGGTTTTTGTATATATAGTGGATTGATTTTAGGGTTTTGGTTGATATTATGAAATTAATTGGAGATGTTTGTGCGTGTGATTTTGTTAGTGATTTGATTCGAGGAATTGTCGAATCGAAGTCATGCCCATATTGCTTATTACTCTTGATAATGATATTTTGTGGCTATAGGTTTTTGTATATAACGGATTGATTTTAGGGTTTTGGTTGATATTATAAACTATAAAATCGGTTGTGGTGTAGATTGTAGAATTGGATAAATTTCCATTTTTCAAATGCTAAGAAATGTCTTTCAGGTCTTAAGTTGTTGGGGTTGATCCTATGTACATTTTGAAATCCCTGTATTGCATTGATGGGGTAGTTCGTGTTATATATAGTTGATACAGGCGTAGTGGGTGTTAATGTGTTATGAATTTATGATCTACTGTAATATCTTTTACTTAAAGAACTGGACACAATAAGCTTGTTAAAAATGCATCCAGCTTAGCACATTTATATTTTGGTTTTTCAATATTTAGCTATGAATGACCCAAAAAATCACTAACTCAGCAACTTTCTTGTTGCAGGTTGGGTCTTGTTTCGACCATCAAGGTTAGCTAAACTGCTCCATTATGCTGCTTTAGGGTTTTATTTTAGATTCGCTTGCGTAATTGCATTCCATTATGCTGCGACTCTATGAGTTATTGTCTGAATATGAATTATATTTGATTCCGGAGGTGGCTTGTGTAGCCTGTTTTGGAAGAGTCATCCCTGGCATATTGGTCTATCTTCCATAGCTTGAGCCCTTTACTAGTGTTACTTATATGCCCACTTGTTTATATGAAGAACAAGCTTTATATGAAAGGTAGGGTGTATCAGCCAATTCCATGATATTAGTATATCCACATAGAAAAAATAAAGTCCTAAGTCAATTTTGCAAACCTTACAGCTTGCAATGTTTTGATCTGCCTTTACGCTGGAAGTAATTTTTCGTGAAGTTGGTAGGATGAAAGTTAATGACTGAATATTTATCATGATTACATGAAAAGATATCTGATGTCTGATTCTGTCACCATTCTATCATTGTCTGTGTCAAATTGGCAAATTCTCTTCCGTTTTGAATGTACAATAATTCATTTGTGCAAAGAATATCTTAGAATTGACCGTTATCTTCCAGGATCGAGCTAATGAAATATATAAGAAGGTTGAAGACCAGAAACCCCTTAGAGGAGGAAGGAATCAAGAAGCAATTTTGGCTGCTTGTCTCTATATTGCTTGTCGACAAGAAGACAAACCCAGAACTGTAAAAGGTAAGAGTAAGTCTAAGAATATTATTCACCTGATTTGCTCTGCCAATAACTAAGTCCTAACTACACAAACACCAGAGATATGCTCGGTTGCTAGGGATACTACAAAGAAGGAGATTGGCCGTGCAAAAGAGTTTATTGTCAAGCAACTAGAGGGAGAGATGGGTCAGTCAGTGGAAATGGGAGCTATTCATGCAGGAGATTTCTTGGTTTGTCTACGAAAGAATAATTCATACATTGTGGCCTTCTAGGCATTTACTGCTTTAGTTGTGATCATTGGTTTAAGGTGTGCCTTTTTGTTAATATCTTCCTTTCATGATTGTAGAGGCGTTTTTGTTCGCATTTAGGCATGGAAAAGCAAACTGTAAAAGCTGCCCAAGAAGCTGTACTGAAATCTGAAGAGTTTGATGTGAGGTAGTATTCTGCCACTCATAAACTGCTGCATTGAATTGATTGAAATAGCTAATATATAAACTTTTTGATTAATTGTTTTGCAATACATTTGCGGAAAATTACTTATACTTCTATTTGGAAATCTTGATCGTCCAATATTGTTGAGCTATGTTACTAAGACTACTACCTAAAGTACCCTTCTTGGATCTTCACAGCATATGGACATTGGACACTTCATTTTAGACCGAAAATCTGGAAATTTTTCGAAAATAGCAAATTTGACACTTGGACACGTGCCTTTGTCCAAAAGATTTATCACTTCTGGGTAAAATAGTTGTTGAGATAGGTTCTAGGTAGAGCCACAGAACACCTGAGCACATTTGCTATAGGCATTGATGAATTCCTGTTATAAAATTCACCTGTTTGAGCTATGAGAAGCATTTCGACCTGTGAAAAATTAGTTAACTCACGGTTTGATATATCTTTTTCTGCAGGAGGAGCCCGATTTCAATTGCTGCGGCTATTATTTATATCATTACCCAACTGTCTGACGATAAGAAACCACTCAAGGGTAAGCTTGCTGCTATATCCTCCTCCTATAAGTCTCTTAACTGCTAAGAACGATATTGATTCAATTTTTGAAATGTGACAGATATCTCTCTTGCTACTGGGGTAGCTGAGGGCACTATAAGGAATTCTTACAAGGACCTTTATCCCCATATTTCGAAGATAATACCAAGATGGTATGCCAAGGAAGAGGACCTTAGGAATTTATGCAATCCTTGAGAACCATCTTAAGGTTATAGAACAAACTTTAAGAACTTGTTCGCTAATGGTAGTGTAGAAGCAAGACATTTGTTTGAGGTGATTCATTGACCTTATCATCTCTTTTAGCTGGGTGGTTGCTGGTTAGGTTAATAGATATTGTTCATTTGTATTATATCTGATGTCCGGTTCTTCTGCTGTTTACTCTTTAGTCGGCAGGTAGTCATAGCGTGTGATGTTTTCAGCACACACCATAGTGTTTTGAATTACTCTCAGAATTCAGATGCTGCTCTCTTCTGATTTTGATTCACCCCTTTCCCATTCTGTTATTGTCCGCGTTGTATATAAGAGGAATATTGAATAAGAGAGAACTGAGGGCCAATTCTTTCTGACCCTTTGGCTGTTCACTCAAAAGGGAAAATTCATACGAAAAATGAGAGGATGTTTAACAGTTCCTCCTAGTCGCTGCGATTTGGTAAACCAACAACTTCAGTCACACAGAAAATGTGTAGTAGTTTCATACTTTGATCTATATTACTGAATTGAATTCCATATTTTCAGCTTTAATCACTCCAAACAAACAATGACAAAAGGAAATATTACAATATTAAGAACAAAAAAAAGGGGAGGATATTAGATGATGTGTATGATTAAGAAGAAAGAGATTAGCTAATCAACTTCCCCATTTTATTTAAGAACAGAAAAAGGTGTCGAGGCGTTAGATAAATCCTACTTGTATTTCCCTACAATGTATTGATTGATGAGTCGATATTATTCGAAGTATTATTTATCTATTTATTAATGCTTAATAGAGAGTTGCGTGATTTTTATCGTACTTATCAAGCAACTTGAAAGACATTTGGGAGGGTGCATATAGGTCAAAATTAGCAATATAAGTAAGTTTTTACCATTAAAGTCAAATGTATTTCAATAATATATTCCAGAGAAAAAGAGGTGAATGGAAACAATACAAACAGTTTATTGTAAAAAAAAAAAAATATAATCCTTCAGATCTGAAAACAGAGTTTCTTTATTAATAATAGGCTACTAGCACATACACAAAATCATAACCATCAAGATCAAGATATATAAATGTAGTATTACACAAATAATGGGAAATAATAAAGTCAAACATAAGATTCTTTGAATCAGCTCAAGATTCCAAATTCATGTGGGGCCTACAAAATGATCAGCTCTCACAACCGTTGGATGAAGGCTCCACCGCCATTGGATTTGTCGTGGCTGATGATTGATCAATCAGTGATCTAACTGTTAAAATCATTGATGATCATGTAGTTTACAATTTAATTTATACACTTGTAACATTTCGCTCTCACCAAAAAAGTTGAACTTTCTTTAGGTGAGATAGCTTATCTCAGCTGATACTTACCATTTTTCTCTTACAATATGGTCCATATTCATAGGCTAAGAAAATTTGGACTAAGACGTTAATTTATATCTTACACCCAAGTATACGGAACAATAACACGCATTAATTTGTAGGTGAGAGTTCGTGACTTCAAATGTCAAAAAGTCAAACACGTGTAGTGCACACGCTTACTAAATACATTTATACACACCAGTGTGTTACCAAACGTAGAAAATACGACTGGATGTATGATTTAAAAATCGAGCCGAAACCTATAATGTAGAAGAACTCATCTAGTTAAAGAGCATATTATATGGATAAAGATTGGGACCCAGAGGATAAATCCCCCCTTTGCTTTGTACAAGTGATGGAGATGAATCCAAAGAGCTACTCACTTAACGCAAAGAAGGTGGGAATAAAATAATGCTTCACCAATAAAGAAAAAATTCTGAGCCTAAGAAATTAAACAATCAGTTTAAGTAATCATACTTATAGAAAGTCACCACATTAGGTATGGAAAATGAGGCTACAATAACCCTTTCTAAAGTTCTCTAAAGCAATGCCACATGAATCTAATTATTTCTTTAACTTGCTCCTTCCAAAATTAATATCACTAAAAAAATTTTGTATAATAGTCGGATCAATATACTCAAACCAACATACTACAAATCACCCGAATATAGATTATAACGTCTCAATAATATTTCAAGAAAAATTACTATTTTAGAAAAGATGAAAACTTTTCCGTATATTTCAAAATAAGTGTAAATACGACTATTAATTCCAAACTGAAAGAATGAATACCTTATGATTTAAGTCATTAACCACCAACTCTCTCCTTCAACTCTTGTATTTCTGATCTGTATAGCTAGATCAATAGATTTTGAAGACCTTTTCTCTGATGATCAGCTAACCCCACTTAAGCTCCCATTTTATGGTCCCCCAAAAATATTTGCATATATATATATAAGCTTTCATAAAATTTAGCATGGACCAATTTTGTTAAGGACCCCATATCATATGGGTCACCCCTCCATAACCATAAGAACAACCAACAATTCAAATTCCTGCCTTTTTATCACAAAAATATCCTTCCTTTTTGTAGTATAGTCTTGGATTTTTTTCTTCCCCTTGTTTTCTGAATGTTTATGCATAATAATCATGTCAGATGCATACTTGGTGTCAATCATCTTGGTTAGCAGCTTATCATTGACTTGGTTTGCTGCTTTTGGGTCTGTCACAGCCCCTCCAAGACCGAAAATCAACCGGTATTTTCGGTTTGATGAGAAAACAGACAGTTGGGTGCCTGTGGAACTGCCTTATGATCTGGTTACCTGTATCAATGGTAATTGTACAGTTGTAGGTTCTATCCGCCAAGCGCCGGAGAAAGAAGAGAGTCAACCGAGGAATGGTGATAATACAGGAAGGAAAGCAAATAAGGAAATTTACAAAAGACTTTTACCTTTGAGGAAGCGCGTCTCATTGACAAAAATGTCTGATGCATCAGTCTGGATCACTGGTGAGAGCGGGTCAATCTATGAGAGATTCTGGAATGGAGTACAATGGGTGATTGCTCCCCATGATTTGCCTGTATCTGCAGAGCCTGCAACATCTGTGTTCTTTGTCAATCAGACTATTCTCGCTCTTTCTGAAGCAGGGTATCTATATCAGGTACAGTTCTGAGTGAATAATAAGACTCAGATATATCTAACAGTTAGGTGACAATCACCATGTGAATAGACTGCAATGCTCTTTTATATCAGGTGAAAATTTGAGAGCTATGTTACTCGAACTTGGGTATTGGTGTCAAACATTGGTACCTCTCCAAGTGTCAATTGCCCGTACATATGTTGGATTGTCGAGGATCTGACATGGGTACTAGAGGTTGAATGAGAGTCCGATTAAAAGTCTCTGAGTATAGTATATTAATATTAGGTTGTTCTGCATTTGCTGTCAGTTTTGATGAGTTCCTTCCCTTTTCAGATGCAACTGGTTGAAAACTCGCAACTGGTTTGGACAAAGCTTGAAGCTTCAGTTTATCACAATACAAGAGGAGAAAGACAGCAAAGTTTGATAAAGTCTGGAGTTGTTACTAAAGATGGGGAGTGAGTAGTTGGATTTTCTTATTGCTCAAGCTGTGTTGAGCATAACAGCTTCCATAATCAGAATGACTGACAAAATTTGCCCATCCCTCAGGAGAATTTACTTCTGCACAAAAAATGGATCACTGATAGAACTTGTAGAGGTAGAACCTCCGAGGTACGCAACAAATTTCTGTTATAAATTCAATACTTATACATTCATGAACTATATGATCAGTGTAAATTTTGCTTGAACTTCCTGCTCAAGAACAAAAGTTTCTAAAGATGATTTTAAATTTGTCACTGATGATATTTACATGTTCTGTTTTGTGAACACAAACAGGTGGGTTAATTATGGGCAGCCTCCAGGAGCAGATGTTGCAGCAGTAGCTGATGTCGGTACAATCAGATCAAACCTTATCTTCACAATCAGGTGAGCTAATATAAGTGCAAACAAACACCACACTCCATGTGTCTCCAACAAATGTCCCTTCAATTACTCAGGAGCGAATATCCATAAATTGAATTTTATTTTTATCTGCTATTCTTTCCAGCAACTTCCTACCTGAATCTGCATAGATAGTGACTAAATACAAAGCATTGTTGAAAATTGTGAATCATATGATATGAAATTTGCATACCATAGTTCGGCAGGAGACCTTTACGAGCATGATAAAAGTACGAAACCACCCTGGAAGAAGCACATATGGAAAGAAGGGTCAGCTGAAGATACTTCCTTGCTACCATCAAGAGGTTGCAGTGCTCAAGGACTAGGAGGAGCTTCTTCGATATCACTGTTTCTGTTAAACAAGGTGTAGTAACCTCAAACATGACAAAAGTGCATATTTTCTCCACCAAGAATTAGTTGTCATGATGTCACAACTGATTATGATTAAACACTACATGATTTTACGAAAGCACACTATAATTAATAAGACTAACAGTAGTATTATTTCTGTAACACAGTTTTTTCGGAAAGATCTACGTTTTGTATGACCATTGATTCCACATAGAAAAAATTTATTATGCAGAATACTTCATTGATTCCACTTCCACACACAAACACACACACACACACACACACACAAAATGTTCATCACAGACGTTTTAGTCTCAGGTCTAAGATTTTCAACACTGACATCCTTGGGCCTTAATCTTCTCACTGTTTATATTCATTTACCTGCATATGCAGGCGGGTAAGCTGGTTGAGAGGCGACTGAATAAGAGAAAATGGAAATGGATAGTACATGGGAGTCCAGAAGATCAACTGCTGACATCAATCACACCATTTCCAGAAGATGAATCCAGTGAGAAGTATTCAGTGCTCCTGACAACCGCATCAGGCTCAATACTGGAATATCAAGTAGGAAAACAGACAGGTAAACAATCAGGAAAAAAGCTCTCTAGAGTTTAGACTTTTTAACAATTTTAACACAGAATTCCTCTTTAATATGATAATGCAAGTTATGCAACAGCAATTTAGAGTTATAGACAATGCTTATATGAGATGTAGCATAGAATAGAGGTTAGTAGCATAGGTATAAAATTTAATATGAAAGAAATCATAGCCTCTACAAGGAAATTTGTCCTTGTAATGTCTAAAAGAGTTCAGTCTTGGTGAAAATCTAATATAATAAACCTTCCATCCAGAGTTGAAAATCACATTGTCTCAAACCCTCATAATCTAAGATATGACATGATTTTAGAAAAAGACACATTATATAATTGGGTCATTCCTATCCTCTCCCATCAATTAGTTTGGATCATTACTATACTCGCCCATCAATTAGTATTAATAGTTGAATTTTTAAAAAAAATATCATTAACCATTAGTATATGTAATAAGAAAAATAAAGTTTATCAGGAGATCCTAAAAGAGTAATAAACTGGATGATCAATTGCATGGAGTCTTAAGCCTCTAGGGGGCTTGTACGAGAGAAATTTCCTAAATCATTATGCATTTATCAGCCTTTAATCTCTTATACATTGAAAAAAAAACATATATATAAACAAGGGAACTGATGTTTATATTTGTGTCCTGATAGGAGTGGCTCAAGAGTACCAACTAGAAGAGCCATGGGTTAATCATATGCATCCACCACATGCAAAGGTAGCAAGAGGTGTAGAAGGGATACCATATCAATTTGGTAGGATCCTTTTCCCACTAGATGACGGCAGGATTTCAGAACTTCATCTATCAGGTTTAGGCGGTGAAAATTCAGGACCAAATCATCAAATCAGTATCCGTAAAAGATTGTCATTGAAGTACGTTTGGTCAATATTAGATGCCCCTGAGACTGAAGGATGGAATGCAGAGTATTGTACAGAGGACCGTGGACCCTCCAATTGCATAATGGGTGTAAAGGATGAAACAAATGATTTTACAAACACAAGAAGTATGACAAGAAGGCGAAAGGGAATGCAACAGAACTACTTGATCCTGGATATGTCAGGCATCAACCTAGAACAACCATTGGAAGAACATAAATTGGAAGAGAATTGGGTGAATGTAAACTTTGGCATGAGAGTGATACAAGGAGGTAGATCATTTTTCCTGGTGTCAAATAGTGGCCTGACTTTTGAGTATCTTTACAATGACAACGTAGGACTATGGCTGAAGCATGACCACCCAACAGCTATGCAGGGTGCAGTTGGGAGCTATAATGGGAGTCTGTTTTTGGTTGACATCCACGGTACTTTGCTAATCAGAGAGAGAAGCAACAATGAGTTGCAGTGGATAAATTGTACTGCCATGAAGAAAGGGAAACCGATAATTGGTGGCCCTCCATGGGACAGGATCCAAGGTACAGGAAAGAAAATCACGGCAAATGATGCAATTTATCTTGTAAGCAAGAAGGGAACACTACTGCAGTTCACTGTAAGTTGTGAAGCACCAAAAATGCAAGACACTAATGTTTGCTCAATTGCATTTTCCAATTGGAAACAATCACTATTTTTTTCCTGTTGCTTTAAAGCTAAGAGGCATAACTATATGTTTATTTCTTTTTAGTCGTTGCCATCAAAAATCCAACTAGAATGAGCATTCTAATGCTTTCCCAGTGACAAAATATGAAACCTAAACTAGAGAGTTCAAATTAACTACATCCTGTCATCCTCTATCCAGAGATAATAGTCACATAGTATTTGAGGATGTCCAGTAGATTGTCATATTTCCTAAAATAGTACTGGTTAGTTATTGGCTTTCCCAAATCCCTAAATAAGGTTGAAGAATAATGAGAGCGGGAAAATCCAAACTTTTGTGCTCCCCTTTATAGGCTAGAACAATGTAAATTGATCTCCTCTCATTATGCCTCCCTAAAAACAGATGCCAATATTTTATAACAACGGAGTTTATCTGATAGACTAACAGCAGACACTATTGTCTAGGTTGCTCTCAGGAATTTTAAATGGAAAGATTGCAAAAGCCCTGCAGATACAGAGATTGCAACAATAGTAGACCAGGAAGTGTGCAGGGATAAGGTAATTTTTGTAATCGGAAGGAATGGAAGATTGTATCAATATAATAGATTGTCTGGATTATGGCATGAACATCATCAATCTCAGCACCTAGTTCTCTCAAGATTACCTGGGACAGCTATGAGGCCATCAGCACTATCTTTGGAAGGCTCCCTTTTCATGATTTCAGGAGATGGTGCACTTGTCGAATATCAATGGAACTCACTTGATGGATGGATATGGGTTGAACATGGCACACCAAATGGAGTTAGAATAGCTGGAGCACCTGGGCCAGGCTTTGAGGGTCATCAGTTGTTCTTAGTTGGCTCAGATGGGAAAGTTTACCTAAGGCACTTCAACCAAGGAGAATGGAAGTGGAGAAACTGTGGATTTCCAGATTCAGAAAATACACCAGTTGAACAAGAAAGAGAGGAAAAGGTGAAGCATTGGAAAGAAAAAGGCATCTGTCTCGATACTGTTAGTGTGGACAGTGCAGAAGAGCCCAAACTAAGAAAGACAAACCAAAACTGCGATCCTAAGGTGAGTTTCATATGTAATTAATCTAACTATCAACTCTATTGCACATTTTGAACTGCAATGATGAGTTGATAACTGATATGTAATTCATCTGATCTTACACAGGTGGCATCAACACGGCCAATTCGTTCTTCAGAAGATAAAGTAATATTCGAGCTAAGGGATGGCAGAGTAAGCATTTTATAACAAAGATATCATAATTTTTACATTTTAAAATAATGACACATCAACATGACACTATATAAAGTTTTAAAGCAGAAAATTCAATGGTTTCCACATTATAAAGAAAACTTTTGGCTGTAAAGACTCAAGAGTTGGATTTAAAATTAAAACATACGCAAACATATTTGCTCACTAACAATTGTAGCTAAATACTCACCTTGTCATATGACAGTTGGCTGAGATGCATCAAGTAAAGGCTTTCGATTGGATATGGTCAAAAATAATTGCAACTCCCACAAGCCTATGTACGGAAAATTTCTGGGCTGCTGCTGCATCATGAAGCTGGAAGATACAGACAGAAAAGCACCTTAAAGATTGTAACAACCATATAATGCAAAAGCACAGAAGCTAGGAGATACTGAAACATACCATACTGTACATAGTAAAGCAAGGACACCAAACTTTTCACCCTCAATCTAGCGCGGCAGGACAAGATGAAGCTTAGAAGCCTGATGCCTTAAGCTACCCTGAGCATTGCTTGTAAATTTGTCTCCAATGTTCACTGTACAGTTTCATACAAAAATAGACACTTCATTTTCTTTTTTTCTTGTAAAATTGAAACTATTGTATCTCTGATATTAAAAGCAGTGACTTCAATAATCAGAATATGAAAGCTTCCTAAATACAATGAAAACTGGTGGGCTCAGTCAAATAAATTCAGAATTCTACTGATGCACTCTATAACCACATATGATTATAATTGTGTGTATGTCATTATCGTCTCAATAATCATATGATTATGAATTTATGACACATCTAGAATCGAATCGTGATGTTGGCAAGAGGCCCATCTGCAAGAAGAATAATAAATCACTAGTTTTCTATTAATATGAGAGACAAGTACATTTGCATTATGTTAATAGATAGTTGCTGATCTCTAAAATGAAAAGGACATATGGATGAGATACACGGTGGGACAAGATGGGAAATCCACAACATGTTCTACAATGCTACCCCTATATGAATTAATTAAATCCTAATCTTCATAGATCGCGGCTACTACTACCGCAATTAATTTTCTCAAGAGAAAGTACTACGTCATAACCAAATTTCACCAAATCAACACTCCAAAGAAACTTTCTTCTTCCATGTCTCAAAATTTTGTCAAGAAAATTAGCATTAATTATTGTACAAACACATTATTGTAAGCTTAATTATGACGTGTAGTCATGAGTTATCTTTGTATCATATCTCAATTATTAGTCAATGAATCAAGGTAAACCAATCCAGTAAGAAACAACTTTTAGAGCTTCTTTGTTCTTTCTAACAAGTCAAGCTTCTTATATTATTACTCCTCAATTTCGATTCAAACATTGTCAATTAAGATAAAGCCTAAGTTAATATCCGATATTGATCAATCTCAATCTCACACCCTATCAGCAGATCCCAACTCTATAATAAGCACAAACTCATTGAAAAAATATCCCCGAGCCTCATCATCTTCATCTTCTTCCTTATCCCTCTTCTCCAAATGGATGAAGAAGAACTAGAATCATTTGAATTCAACAACCTTCCAAAAGACATAATTTTCGACATTTTTTCAAGAATCCCATTAAAACACCTCTATCAACTACGATGTGTTTGTAAGAAATGGCTATTTTATCTACATCAAAACCCAGAATTCAGAGATTTTTACCATCAAAAACACAAAATCAACCCAATTTTACTCTTCACTAAACAAATTATGGAAAACCCATCAACCCAATTATCTTCCTACTATATTGATGGAACCCCAATAACTCAAATTTCAACCAATTTTGATCAATCATTAATTTCAACCCTAACCTGCAATGGAATCCTCTGTTTAATCACAAAAACCAATGCATTTCTTTATGATCCTATAACCATGAGAATCTCTAATCTCCCTAATTCAAACCCTCGCCGTTTCGATTCATCATTTGGGTGGGCATTCGGGTTTTCCCCGTTTCGAAACGTTTTCAAAATCCTACATTTTTACACCATTGAAAAGAAATTTGACAATTTTCATTACTGTCAAACACAGGAAATAATGTGTGAAATTCTGAACAAACCCAATTCAGACCTCGGGTTCGAATCCCAAGAAGAGTGGAATAATCTTGGGATTTGCCCATTTGATTTTCTGGGTAGAAAAAATTATGCATTTGTTGATGGGAAATTTTACTGGTTAATTGGAGAAAAGAAATTCAACCCAGAAAACATAAAGATCATGTCTTTTGATCTTGAATTTGAGGGTTTTGGGTTGAATTATTTCCCCAAATCATGCTCAAATCGTTCAGTTGAATGCTTGGATTTGGTGGAAATTAGGGATTTTTTGTGTTTAACAGATAGATTACCTTGGGAATCGAGCATGGATATTTGGATGATGGAGAAAGAAAATAAGGGTTTTCCAAATTTTTGGGTAAGAAAATATAAAGTTGATCTTATGGGAATTAATCATCATGATGTAAGAATTTTGGGCCATGTGATTAAAATCAACGGTGGAGATTGTGAGAGTGAAGGAAAGATTATGATAAAATTTGGGGGTCAAAGTTTTGGGTTTTATGAGCTTGATAATGAGGTTTTTACAAATTTGGCGGGTGAAATTAATTTTCAAGGATGGGATTTACAGTTGATGGTTAACAGAAAGTTTCTATTATAGAAAGTTTCAATTACAGAAAATTAATTTTGTACTGTAGCTTCCATTTTTGGAGAGTTGATTTGTACTCATAATTGTGAATCTTCAATTTATAGAATATACGAGTAGTTGAGATTTTTCTTGTCAAAATTTCGAGATATTTTAGCATGGAGATTTTTGCCTACACAATTGGTATATACTGTGTACTATACAAAGATACACAAAGTGAAAATGTTTCTTTGAAGCTGTCTCTTTTTATTTTTTATTTTTTTTTTTTATTTTTGGAAATGACTTTGAAGCTTTCTAATTGTATAGCACATTATAAAGATTTGATAGTTTACTTAGAGCAACTCCAATGGTTGTAGCTAAGGACTTGCTTGCAATATTAAATAATCCTTAGCTACTAGCTTAACCATTGGAGCTAGAAAATGCAATTAGCTTGGTCAAAGCTAATTTGCTTGGAAAAGAACTTGCTAAAATAAAACAAATTAGAATAAATAAAATGAAATTTACCAACGTAAATTAAGGAGGTGTGGTTCATTTAAATAGTAAGCCATTAGCTAGCTATTGGAGCTAAAATGACAATTAGCTTAAAAACTTATGTGGCATAGCAATTAGCGTGCCATTGGAGTTGCTCTTATATGGTGGAGCCATCACATAGCCAAACTTTACGTTGCACAATTGATACTTAGGTCATTAACTCATTATTGATCAAACGAGCATTCTTTTTGGGTAATCACTCAATTCATTGAAAATTATGAAACAAAAGTTGTCTTTATATCGTAATAAATTGGTTTAGAATTTCATGGCACACACATTTTCCACATGTATACTCGATTACTCGTATATGGTCGTATTTTTTTTGGCATCGTCTATTACTATAATTGAACGCCCAGTACATCAATTAAAATCATTGAGCGCAGAATGTATGTCATTAAAGAACACTAGCACACATTTTCAAAGGAGGCTTTATAACTTTGTAGATATAACTGACTCATAATTCATTAAGGCCACAACTCTTCAAAGTGTACACTACTTCATAACTTCCCTATCCCTCTTTCCAACTTTCTATGAACAAATCATGTACAACCACATCAGCGCGCCACATTAAAGCAATTGCCCGTATTGCACAACACGACATTCAACACTACATTTGATGTTGAAACTTGAATTCCCATGAAAGTGGACTCTCAAGCCTTGAAGCCAACGTCCATTTACCATTTTACTTAGGTGGAAAGTTGGTACTCTGTATATCAACTAGAATAACCTCACTCGTAAGTACCCCATTACGGGTAGCTGCTTATTACAAAATGCAGTAAGAAACAGATCAACAATCGAATTTCACCGGAAAGGTAACTGTCGTTCAAAACCCACCCACGTCATGCAAACTAGCTTGGACCACGAGAGAACAAGGATTATATTATCTCATTACCAGCCGCCATAGGCATATAGATATTGGCTTGATTTGCTGTAGAGCTTCAGAAATTTCATATCAGAGCATTAGATCCTTTTTTGGGGTGGGAAAAGGGAAAATGCACATTAGTTAAAAGAATAACCATACAAATTCCACAAATATAAAATTAACAGTCATACAGCTAAAAACCTAGACCAATACAAGAAATAGTGTACACTCAACGTTGAGAAAATGATATCCAAACCGCCACTCTTCCATAAGTAAGAATTCATTAACAAAAGCATGTATAAGGATGAATCATTCAGTAAACAAATACACACTAATGCCTCACTATCATGGCAAAAAAAAAAAGTAGCTCCACCACATGCCTTGAACTCGAAATCAGGAGAGGTATCCACAACTTCCAAAAGCAACAAACAGGATTAATATCGTCTTCTAGGACTCCTTGATCGGTGACCGCGAGGGGATCTGCATTAATAAATAAAACCTTGTCAAACATGTGGAGGCAAAAGCATCTATAATAGGAGTGTAAAACAGCTGATTAGCAAAAAGTGCAATACAGATTATCTAGATATATCCACTCATGTACTCGTTCATAGCAAATGAGGAACTAGTGCATTGCTTAAACAAAGTGATAGAAGAACAATGTAACAGTCGATAAGTCAGTTAGATTTTTTTTTTCTTAAAAAAAAGTCAAAAAGTGATGCTACAAGTCTACAACTAGTCAACTTGTATTTACTCTAGAAAGTAACAATACTCGGGTACTAAACGAAGTTGGAAAACCAATGTAGTCATAGTATGAAACCAAGAAATCCCAAAACTTAATAACTGTTCAAACTTAAAAAGACAAACCTTCTACGGTTGCCCCTCCTCTTGTAAGGCCCATTACTGAAAGCCCAATCAACATTTATCGGCTGCTCAAGCATTTGGGCACCACTCATCTCCTTTATTGCAGCTTGTGCTTCTTCATATTTCCCATACTCAACCAGTGCATAACCCTAAAGATAAACATCAAACAAGGGGAATATAATATATGAGGAAACCAAACCAAAAACTTAAACATAAAAGGTGATAAAACAATAGCTAAACATTTTCCAAAAGAATAGAGAACAAAGCTAAATGGAGATTTCAAACACGTCCACATAGAAAACGAAAAGATCAGAGAAGCACCTCCACAGAACCAGCAACACAACCACCTCAAACCCCCCAAGAGCTCTGTATAGAGTTGTAGAACATCACTGTTTTCCACAAACCAGGTAGAGCAAGAAAAGCAGCTGATCCTTTCTTTAGCAAGATTTGACACATTCATACAAATAAACAAAACTTGGGGAAGGGAACTCAGTGGCAGACAGAAACTCAACTTAAGCCATTTACAGACTAGTGTGTCAAACACAAGCCAAGAGAAGCATCACAGCCAACCAGGACAATAAGCATACATACGGAATCGCACATTTGCAGACCAACCCCACTATCCAGAGTAGGCAGCTGAAATGGTTGTATCATTTGCAGAAAGATGGAACCTTTTGAAGCCTGTTCTAAAATTGACTCGCAAATTAGGTGCTTCTATTCGTTTCAGAAAGGAAATAATTACTTCGCATTAGCTCAGAATACCTTCCAAGTATATCAAAACCAAGTCACCAAAATTCTACAGACCCTCACAGCTCTAAGCAAAGCTTCCCATGCCTAAAGGCTTGAACCAAGATCAAAGCAACATCATAACTAAAGCCTAAACATCTTATTAGACTAATGCACTTCAACAATCTGACTAGTTGAGTTATAGTTTTCATACACATGCATCACATGATTTAACCTATTTGTTTGTGTATGTGTGTGTGTGTGTGTGTGTTGAGTGGGTGGATAGAACATAGAGCTCAACAGAAATGTTTGCTACAGAGGCCTTAACCTCCAACTGTCTAACAGCTCTTCTTTGCATGCACCTCTAATAAAGTACTTACACTAATTGAAGTTTTGTGGTGCTGTTGTCCATAAGGACTCTCATCACTGATGCTTTCTCAAGCGCCCACCAAGTCACACCATGGACCTTTCCCAAATCTAAATGGCGGAATAAGCAATGTGCAAGCTTAAAATAAGACAAAATATAGCATTGTCAAAAAAAAAAGGCTTATTCTCCCTGTGCTAATTAACCACACATCCTTCACATAAACTGCTACACCCTCAATTACCTACAAATCGTATTGCATAACATATTGTCCAACTGACCCCAACCTTTAAAACTCACCAAATTGAAAATAACTACAGTAAAACTACATTTGTCCAATCAAGTGAGATAGGGTACATAAATATCTCAGGAATTTCATCAAATAATTAATCCTCAAATGCAGCGATCAAAACAGTTTTTTGTCATCAATCCCCATCAACCAAACCAAAAAATCTTCTGAACAAGCCACGCTTTACATTGCACCAGGAATGTATAATAAGTGGATTGGAAGAAAAAGTTGACACCAGTTATAAAATCCCTTTCTCAGAAACTTCAGTTACAGTCAAAATCCTCCAAAATGTCCAATCATTCATCACGATCATCCTTTATCTCTACATGCTTAGCGACATGCAAGTATGTAACCCCTTCCTCTCTTCATTCTAAAAGGAACCACAGACTTTACTAGAACCTATGACCAATGATTTGCACTTACATGTATGCTTGCCCAAATCAACAAAACTACTTAATAAAACGAACAGGAAGCAATAAACACTTCTGGATTCAGTATCAGAGTAAGCATAAGAAAGAAAAATGCATCAAATCAAAACGACCAATACACTTTTAAGTGAGAACTACTATCGCACCTTGACAAATCCAGTACGGCGATCCAGATTCAAATGCAAGTTCTTAATCTCACCGAAATCTCCAAAGACATTAAGGAGATCCTCTTCCTGTGCCTCTTCATGCACTCCTGTGACGAGTACAATCCAGCCTTCGATTGCTGCAATGAAAAAAAAATTGTTAGAATTTTGCTTGCAGAAATTTTAATAAAAATAAATTCACAAGAAAAGAAAACCAAATTTTCATTTTAACTTCAAGACCTTCCACAACAAACAAAGAAAACCAAGATAAAAAGAATCCACAACCAAAAACTATCAGCAGTACATGAGAAAGTAAATCAAATAAATCTCTGGACGATCAAAGAATGATAAGCTCGTCCACTTTTATCACTACTAATTTCACTAAGGATCAATACGTTATATGGAGTAATCTACCAATTGGAAATTGTGGCCAAAAAAACATCCAAAGGCTTCAAAATTTTGGGGCTTATAATGATCTTTGCCTTCCCCGACAATTTCTTTTCAGTTAATTCAAAAAACTAAGAAAAATTATGGAGTAAATTTTTACTCATGATGATTTGATTTCTGATTCTTCTCGCTTAAATAGTGTTCAATCTTTATAAAAGCATATAGTGTTTACCGTTATAAAAACAATTAGAGCAAAAAATTTGGGACATCCAAAATACACAAATCAATCTAAATCTAAACCATAATTCAAAATTCACAATCGCCTCCATAAATTGTATCTAAACTCACCAAAACATCTAATCAGATGGAGAAATATGAGAAAGTCATAACTGTATGAAAAGTCAGTGACAGAAGAAATTTGATCTCCTATATGTCCAAGCTGGGGGCTTATGTTTGAAATCAGATTCAGCAGCACAAAAAATGAGGTCAATAAACTGGTTGAAAAACCTACATGTCCTCAACTATCAACATTGAGCTCCGTGGTCTCAGTACAGCAAGAAATCTTGTTCCAAGCAACAAGAATTGGCACATGGTTCCTATGTATTGCAGGAGAGTGGAAAAAAAACAAATAGTTGGATCCA